GTGGGAAGGGGATGGGTAGGGTCGGCGTGCCGGTATCTCCGGTCGGTGCCTTTGTGCCGCTCGGTCGTTATGGGGGGGGGGGATTAGGAGGGTCGGCGTGCCGGTATCTCCGGTCGGTGCCTTTGTGCCGCTCGGTCTTTGGGGGGGGGGGGGGATTAGAAGGGTCGGCGTGCCGGTATCTCCGGTCGGTGCCTTTGTGCCGCTCGGTCGTTGGGGGGGGGGGGGGGGGATTAGAAGGGTCGGCGTGCCGGTATCTCCGGTCGGTGCGTTGTGCCGCAGTCGGTCGTTGGGGGATTAGTAGGGTCGGCGTGCCGGTATCTCCGGTCGGTGCCTTTGTGCCGCTCGGTCGTTTCCACGCCACAGCCAACACCAGCCGCGCGCCTATCGTTGCCGCCGGGTGCGTCTGTCGCTCCGGCGGTCGGATGGTGCTCGGTACATTTTAGCTCTTCATTTGAGCTTTTCTTTACCAACTAATTTCACTGTAATTAATCGAGTCTGACTGAAGCGGTCTTGTAAACGTGGACGATTTCTGCTCGTAAACTTGCAAACCAGCTCGGCCTGACCGTACCCCGTTGTTCCGATCTCAGCTGCGCCGTCCGGACTCTGCCGACGACCGGCACGTGATGGCCAAACACTCTGAGATCTACCCCAAGGACGAGGAGCTGAACGCCATCCAGAAGATCGTCTCCAACTCGGAGAAGGCGCTGAAGATGGTGTCCGACGACATCGCCGAGGCGGACGCGCCGAAAAAGGACGACGGCACCGCCACCGAGAGCAAGGACGAGTGAGTACAGGCGCCGAGGCGGACACCCTAAAATTCATGCATTTTATTCTTTGTTAGGCTTGCTCAATTAAGCCTGTTGAACGTGTGTTTGCACCATTTAGCGTACTTGATCCATCATGGTGGTTACCACGACAGCTACTGGCTACTGCCTATGACCGGTGGCACGTGACTGACCGACGCTCGCTCTCCCCCAGGGATGGCAAGGAGCTGCCTCGCACGCTGAAGGGCGTGATGCGTGTCGGCGTCTTGGCCAAGGGACTGCTGCTGCAGGGCGACGCCGATGTGCAGCTGGTAGTTCTCTGTGCCGAGAAGCCGACACGCACCCTGCTCGAGCGTGTCGCCAATTTGATGCCCAAACACTTGGCGGTGAGTCGTCTGGCGCGGGACGGAACCCTCCATGGTTGGGCAAGGAGCCGGCTGTCGTTAGCCGGTAGTCCTAATCAACCGTGGTACACGACCGCTATCGGCCCAGGAAGATCCCAGACTGCGCGCCACTGCCAGTACTGATTCATGCCTGGGATACATTGTGACACAGGAGTCAAGGCATGTGGTAGATGTTTTGATATTTCGTAATGTTTTCTTATTCGATTTTTTCGTAATATTGTTTCGGCGACGCCCCACGTAACGTCTCCGTCTCCGCTGGGCCGGCAGACGGTGACGCCCGACGAGAAGTACGCGCTGAAGCTGAGCGTGGAGCAGGCATCGCTCATCATCACCAACCAGACGGAGCCGCAGATCAACGTCACCGTCACACTGACTTCCCCGCTGATGCGGGACGGTGCCGCCGACGGTGGTGAGTGGGCGCGGGACGGCCGGCGCCGTGCAGCGGCCCAAAATATCGACCCCAGACACCGGACCCCGCTCCCGTCCAGACGGCTGTTCAGCCAGGCAGCAGTGCTGCGCAGCAGAGTGGTTCACTTCTATAATTATTTTGAACCGTGTGGCTGATGTGTCACGAGTTTGTTAACGTAGTGAATTTACCGGTCTTGCGAAAAGGACGAATGTCTGGAAGCGTGTCGAACCTTCCGAATCCGGCCGTCCTAAAATCACGTATGATCATCGAAAGTGTGATAAGTAATTTGATTAAAGTAAGCCCGAAATCGTACATATGATGCCGAGTTGGGCTTTGCCAGTATTTTAGTGTACCCCGTTTCCCGCTGTCGCCGGTTTTGGGCCACTGCGCTGGTGTGCGAGCTGTGAGCGCGCCGTAGGGACGGCGGGCCGTCCGGCAGCGACGTCCACTGAGAGCCGACCTTGTCTTCTGCAGGGTGCTGGAGGCGGCTGAGCCGCGCGGCCGCGCATCACACATGCGTCACTGTCGTTCGATTCACTCTCGCTGCTCTCAGTTTGCCCGTAGTTGTGCACTGGATGCTTTGCTTGATGATACGAGGGTCGGGATTTTTCACTTGTGTCCAAAATGGTTCCGTGTGGTGCTAACGCCAGCTGGTAATCATTTTGGACTGCTTGTTTTCTCATCATGTGTTTGTTTCATTCATTCACAGAACGTAGTGTCATTTACGATGTGTTTTATCGAGCCTCTCGCCCTCCCCTCGTTAGTAACGTAATCGCGAATTCGCATCTGAGTATTTTACGTATTTACTGCAATCATCATGCTTGTTTCGCGCGAACGACAGTGACCCAAGATCATGTATGATGCGGGGCCGGTTCGTTCGCAGAGCCAACTGCCTCCAAGGACCCGCCAGACGTCTTGGACAAGCAGAAATGCCTCGAGGCCCTAGCGGCTCTGAGACATGCTAAATGGTTCCAGGTCTGGACACACGCCGCCGAGTCACTCGCGCCGGAATGACGTGCTCACTTGCTGGTCTTAATCTCTGTTCTTCTGCAGATATTTTATCGTTTAAATTTGCACGTCCTTCTGTCGCGGAGCTCACACCCATTTTTTCAGCCTTATCTCTGGGCAGTGGGTTGTCTGGTCGGGGTGGCGGTGTCGCGGCGTCCGCCGGCGGCAGACGGCGGTCGTCTAGCGGCGCGGCACGGGGCGAGCCGTCCCGGTCCGCGCCGCTCGCCGGCCGGCCGCGCTGCCGTCGCCGGAGCCGCCGGGTGGGCGGGTCCCTCTGACACAGCCGGGGCTCTCTGCACCGCTGGCGACTCGTAACGTAACGTAATGTCACGTCACTGTCGGGCGCGCGGGCGGCTCGGCGCCGAGCCGCCTCCAGAGCCATGTTTTTGTCACTCAGACCAGAGTCCGTCGCAGAGAGCAGTTCGGTGTGTAGGCTTCACATAAGGCTGGAAAGATAGTCGGTCCTGTCGGCCGCGCGTGTGGCGTTGGTGAGCCAGTGAACCGTGTCGTTACCATATGGTAGTAACAACCCACCGTTACCCTCCTCCGTGCAGGCTAGGGCCAGCGGCGTGCAGAGCTGTGTGATCGTCATACGCATAATGCGTGAACTCTGTCAGCGCGTGCCCACATGGACTCCGCTCAACACCTGGGTGAGTTAAATTTGCTCGTAATGTCCGATTGGCATGATCTGTAGAGAAAAATAGCAAATATCCTTCAGAGATTTTGTATCGGATAGTATGCATTTCCACGTCTTTGTGTGACCGCTAGGCGGTGCTATTCTTTGTTGGGTGCTGGTACCGTTGATTTGACTCGCCTGTTGTCTGTGTCAGGCGCTGGAGCTGCTCGTGGAGCGGGTGGTGGCCTCTGCCGGCTTCCCGCTGGCGCCCGGCGACGCGCTGCGCCGCGTGCTCGAGGCCATCGCGTCCGGCCTGCTGCTGCCGGGCACGCCGGGCCTGATCGATCCGTGCGAGAAGGAGCCGGTCGACACGCTCTCCGGCCTGACAGCCCAGGAGCGCGAGGACATCACGGCCTCGGCGCAGCACGCCCTGCGCCTGATGGCCTTCCGACAGGTGCACAAGATCCTCGGCATGGACGCCCTGCCGCCGCCCAAGTTCAACCGCGGCAAGTTCAATCGGAAGCGGCGGCGCGACAACAGCTGCTCGGGCGAGAACGGCGACTCGGAGGGTGAGTGACGGACGGAGGGCGCCGCACTGGGTGGGTTCGGTCAGCGGCGCGACTGCTGCCCTCGCTGCTGTGAGCTGGAGCTCATTTTTATTATATTAGCGCCTGGGAAAGTTTAGTTAGATCTGACCCTCACCGGCTTTCCTTTTTGCAGGCGGTGATGGGAAGAAGGACAAGAAGGAAGATGAGAGCGAGGCGGCAAAGGCCGATGCCAAGTGATGACCCAAGTTCAGTTGCGGCTGGAGACTTGTGCCGTCAGAGGAACTTTGGCGTGTGGATTTTTCCGGCGCCCGGTCCGATGGGCGCAGCTTTGTTGTCCACTTTTCTGTCTGTAGCTGTTGTTTCTGAAACACGCTGCACGCACCACTCAGTTGGTCACTGTATAATAAACATCTGTGCGTTCAGTAACCAAGAGAAGGATGGTGGTGGCGAGTAATCTCTCCCCCAGTCACCATATATGTGTTTTTTGTGCTGTGCTATAATTTGGTCGACCCCGCCAGGGTAACATCTTGGTATGCGGAGTAGACCACTTGTAATATGTTATATTAAGTCGAGTGCAAGTTTTAGACTTGCGGCATGTTAGGTCATTGTAAGTTCAATTGCTTGTGTCTGTAGTACAGTGGAAATACACAAATATGTGATTGTGTAAAGGCTCTGTGTTATGGTGAACACATGCTGGGGCACCAGGAACCTGTTGCAGTCTTTCCTAAGGTACGTTTTGAGCAAATTGTTCCGTCCATTGCTCTGTCCCTTCTATGTCATTTCCTGTTTTGTGCGTGCTTCATTGTCAGACATTAGTGGTTGACTGGAGATGTAAGTGAAATGACCATCTGTCGTTTTATCCTCTTACGACGTTCTCTGATCCAGGTGAACCGTCTGGTGTGTCAACTTCTCGCCGATCTTCAAATGTGCGGAAACTTCGAGCTGACGATCTGCCGCCTCTGCCACTTTTGAAAAGTGAGTCCTGGAAATGTGATCGACCTTATTCTGTAGCGTCATAGCTCTGCAGTTGCTTTATGCATTGTATAATATCGGTTTGCACGATTGACGTGTCATTTCGTAGCGCGCTGATGACAACTAGTTTCCGATGGTATCATGACGACATCCATCCCAACGTGTCCTGAGCCGGACTGACCGACTCTCGCTCCGGGTTAGTGGGGACCAAACACTAATACCATGGTTCTCTGTTCGACAGACAACCACGCGTCGGCACAGAAGCACTGCTCCTGCTTCACTCGTCGCACCGCCGCTCCACTCGAGGTAATGAATCACCCGTGGTGACGTGACGTGGTCTGTTTAACTGATCTCGCTCACAGTGATGACAGCTTTTGTGTCCTAGTGGCTCTGAGGACTCTCTCCCAACGTCCTGAGCGGTGCCACAGCGCCGTGGACCTCCCTGGCAGTATCCGTCGGATGACCCGTGACCCGTCTGCCCCCAGGAGTTCCAGAGGTGGCGGCGGGACCGACCCCAGGTCGTACAATGCACGGCTCACCCCTCAACTCGCAGGTAAGCCAGTCATGGCAGTACCGTGGGTCGACTCAGTATCATTGTGCTGTTTGCGTCAGCTCAGCTGGTTTTACCGCTACCGAGCAATCACTCGTGTCGCTATAATGTATGTTCTCCGAGTGCTCTCACCATGATGATTTTACAGTCTCGTTCGTATGAACACGATGATTATACTTATAATGTTCTGATGGAAGTTGCCCCTTTCACCGTTTCGGGCGCTGAATATACAAAGCTGACCAAATGTGTCGCTTCATTTTCAGGCGAGCTGACTGGACTGGGGCACTATGTTTCCTGTTTTACATGGACGAAGATTTGAATTGTGAGAACTCTTGACGTTTTTTGGTTGTGCTATTATATTCCCGCCTAATATGATGATTCATTGTCTCGTTCGTATGAACCACAACGATTAAAACTATCACAAACTGATAATTCAATCACGCCGACTCAACGCGTGCTTTTACTTTCGTTCGATTAATAGGGGCGCCCTCTTTCAGGAGCTTGCCCACAACTTGGCCTACGGAGTACTGCAACATGTCAACTTTGGACTCGTCGTGGGATCGTCGTGCTGCTGTCTGTAGCCATCTCATCATATGTTGCCAAGTAAGCTAAATATGCAATCCTCGTTTATTTTATGAGCATGACGTGGTTCTCATTGACATTTCGATGCTCGTTACGGCGAAATCTCCGTTTTGCCGATGATGAGTTTTTCAATTGGATTATCTTGGTGCGTATTAGATGCATCCATTGGCGTTTGGAATGCTTGTGGCGCCCGCGCCACAGAAGTCAGCGGTCGGCCCGTGGACTGGGCCGGCGGTGTTATGTCTGTGGCAGACCATGGCACGGCCTGTCGGGCGCGGCTCGGGTCCGCCGTTCTGGCGGTCCCGGACCGTGTCCTGGCTGTGCCGGCCCCGAGAGTAGGGCCGCCCCGCGCACGGGACGGCCCTTAGTTAGCGGGCGTACAGCTGAAATGGTGCGGGTAGGTCGCCGCACCGAGAAGCGACCGCGGCGTGCTACCGTGTCTGACCGGCATTATTTCCGTTTTCAGCTGACGGAGCCGTAGTCACAAGCCTGGTGAAATTTCTGCCTCCGCTGTTGGACTTGCCTGCGGTCTCACCGGGGTGATAAGGTGAGCCCCGCTTTCAGCGATGTGTACCGCTGTCGCAATGTCAGTGTAACTTGCACTCTAGCTTTTCGGACCCGTCGTATGGTAACATGTTCGATATACAGTAGTGCAACACCAACCTGGGAACTACTGAACATGGTCGCGCTGTTACGGTCATGTTCCAACATTCCCATACAGTCGTGCATTTTGTGATCCTTTCACACATCGTCCCCTTCCCTCACCTTTTCTTCCTTTCTTCTGTTATGCTGCTATCAAATACGCATAGTTTTTTAGCCAAGGAAGCAAGTTTTTTTTTTCTGCCAGTGCGGTTTATGAGCTGAGGTCACCCGGAGTCTTATCTGTTATCTATTTTCTTTTTCAGGTCCGGACATATCGCCTGACATCAATTGAATCGTTGAATGTCGTCTGGGCATGCCGCATGGTAAGTCTGACATTTCTGTTGTCCCTGTTGTTCGTATCCACGGCTATGATTTTCATTGTGAGAACAAAATGATGGTAACCATAAGCGATCCGTACATTATCGGGGGGATGTGCTTCGACATGTCGGTGCTGGTTTGCAAGGCCGGCTTTTGGGTGTCCGGCGTCGCTCAGACATGGCGGCCGAACTGCGCTGCCGGCCGCCGCGTCTGTACTGGCGCCCACAGTGTCCGGCGGGACTATCCTGGCGCGGCAGTTCCGCCGCCGTCAGAACCAACACCGCCCACACGCGCCGGCTCCACCCGCTAACCCTAGTGCGTCCGTCTGGTCTAATCCTATCCACCCGCCGTCCGCTACCGAAACGGCCCATCTGTGCCCTGTCGTTAGCAATTAGTGCTCACGGCTGAAGACGGGCTCCCAGAGTGTGTTCTGTTGCTGTAGAAACGCTTGTTGGCAATTATGATCTCATGAGTTTCTAAAAATTTATTTTTCATTACAGGAGTCGTCAGCAAGTCGCAAATGTGCCGACGTCATCAGGCGGATACGCCAGGTAATTATCTGCGTCTGATTCGGTCATGTTTGTTTAAACCGTGTTGGTAGCGCAGACTAGCTCCAGCGGGGCGGCGCCGTGGCCCCGCTGGCGTTCCCTTTCTGCGAACAACAACCCGGCCGAACCGCTATCCCGGGGCTCTCGTTCGTAGTGCTTCCGGGACGAAGTTTGTCTACAGAACTTTGTTTTTATTTATTCTATGCATTGCAAAGTCTATTAGGGATGTTTTCATTTGGTATTGTTGCAAGTGTGGTTACTGGCTATAACAATTTTTATTTTTATATCTTCGTTTATATATTGGCAATATTTTTTTTTCTTTTTCTCAGATCGGATGGCGGCTGCTGGGTAACATTGCAGACGGGACCGAAGCACCATTAGCCACTGACTAAAGGTGAGCTCACTATGGCCTACGTGGATCCCGTGCCCCGTATTTTCCCTAAACTTGACAATTCTTATGATGACAACACCCAGCTCGCTTCCAGCTACGGCGATGCAGAAAATTTCCCTGTTAGCCTGAGAATCATTTTGGAGTCACGCTAAACCGGTACTTTTACCACTTTTGTTAACAGCTCATATGCTTTTTCAGGTGCACCAAGGGAGCCTTCGGTCGTACATGCTGCCAGCGCATCAAAACACCGTGAGTATTGGCTGAATTATGGCCATGTCGCCTGGTTTCGTCCTCAGTTGGTATAAGCGCAGACTAGCTCCAGCAGACCGTCGTCTTGGGTCTGCGGGCGTTCCCTACCTGCGAACAATAAAACGCAAACCGCTATCCTGGTGGTCATCTCGCTGATACCGGTCGGGACGAAGTTTGCGAACAGTTTGCTTAATAATAGGCTGTGCATTTTACGGACTGACTTGTTTTTCATGATACTAAGTAATGCTTAAATGCGTGATATCTTTTTTTTTTGGACTCCATGGCGTCCAATGGGTTGCGTTGTTTTGCTCTCATGTACCGTTTGCTGACGTTGCCCTCTCGTCCGTCAGGTTCGGTTCCCTTCTGGACGACCACGGCAGTGGACGGTTAGGTAGCGGGAACCCGCAGCCGAGCTGACAAGGAGCAACACCGATTGGTAAGTTTCCGGAGCGACCAGGCATGATCTATTTTGTGGTATTCTCATTGTAGCCTCGTCCATATCTGATAAGTTCGTCCCGCTGCGGTCCTCGGTACGAAGTTTCATTCACTGCATGATGCTAACTATTCCTTCGTGGAGGCCCTCGCACGGCCGCTGATCTATTTGTATTCGTACTGTCTGACTGTATAGCTGGACCGGCCGCTCGGTTTTTGACGGTATAGTCGCTGACGGCTGGTATCTCCTCGCAGGTGTCTGAAGTGAGAGAACTCACGCAAACCGAGGCCCGGGCGTCCGGCTGTGACAGCCACGGTAAGTACGCGACGATTATCGGATAGATCCGTGATCTACATTCAACATTTTTGTGTGTGCATTTTTCTGTTATTTGTGTTTCCGTATATATGTTACTCTGGTGAAGTGCCCTCGTCACGCATGATGCTACTATCCGCTGTCTAGGCCCTCGCACGGCCGATGCTGTTCGCAGTATTCGTACTGTCTGACTGTGCTTCAGTGACGGCGCGGCTGCCGTGGCCTCCCTCCGGCCCTGACCTCTCCCCGTCCATTCGGCAGGTGATAGAGGTGCGCTGTTCTTCTCATGCTTCAGCAATGGCCATCCTGAATGGATGATGAATCAGGTAACTAATAAGAAATTTCTGGAGGATTCTTTTTATTTGGAAATGAGATTTATGATGACAACACCCAGCTCGCTTCCAGCTACGGCGATGCAGAAAAGTTTCCCTGTTAGCCTGACGTTCCGCGCCATTGCTTGCTAATTCGGCGTGTCGTGGACGAAGGTCTGATGTGCTCTGCCTTTTCCGTCAGGAAGATCGCCGGCTATCGGAGAGGGTCATCGGCTACACCTACAACGGCGCAGCACGATGGTCTACAAACGCCCAACGGCACCCTCGGCTCAGCCGCGGCGACCAGTAGGTTAGTGTATTCTCCCTCCCCCCCCCCCCCGTGCGCGGCGACCATCACGTGGAACACCAGCCATTTATGGCGCCTAGAAACACCCAGCCGCGCAGATCAGCTCCAGCGGGGCGACGCCGTGGCCCCGCTGGCGTTCCCTACCTGCGAACAGTAACCCGGCCGAACCGCTATACCGCTGCTCGTCACTTATGTACGAATTGTCGGTACGAAGTTTGTCTACACTAATATGAATAATTGTTTTAAATTATGTAGCCATATCCTACGCGCTGTCGATATTGTTTACGTTGTAAGACCAAAATATTGCGAGATGATTTCGAGAAACAGCTATTTCTAGTTCATCATTGTCGAATTTAATTCCTGGAAATAGAACGCAGCATAATTGCATACTAACGACCGGTAATCTTCCGCAGGCTTTATCTGGACGGCGTCTGCAACTCCTCACACCAGGCGGTGCAGCTGTCCGCGCTGCCGTCCCAGGTCAGTATCGGAGCGAGCACGGGCCGACCGGCGCGGCCTTTGCCCCGTCCCATCCCTGCCCATGGATGTGGACGGCTTTCCCTTGTCGCGAACAGAAAACGTGCGGACCTCTAGCCTGGCACTTTGTTACGCTTGCAAGTGTCTGAATGAAGTCTGTATACACGTATGATTTTTTTACGTACTCATTTACACATTTCTGACAAGTTACACCAGACCGCTGTTTTTCTTTAATTGCTGTTTTCGTTTTCTCAGGATTTTTCGAAATGCGAAGCTCGAGGACATGAAACTTCTACCGAATTTAAAGGTACGTAAGGCCTATTATATAATCCAGATTTTAAGAGCATTTGCGCCGGTGATTTTGCGCTGACTGAATTGAAGGATTGTTTTTTTTGTAACATTGGCTCACATATTATTGCGTAATGATGACAACACCCAGCTCGCTTCCAGCTACGGCGATGCAGAAAAGTTTCCCTGTTAGCCTGACGGTCGGTGGCCGGCCGGGTGTGTCTGTCCGGTGACGCTGGCTCTGACCGCGGTACCGTCTCCCCACAGGACGTGGTCCGGTGGCGGCTGTCGGCCCGAGTCCCTCTCCCGACACGGTGAGTGGCCAGCGGCGGTCCCGGCAGGCAGTGACGCCGTCCCGCAGACCAGCTCCACATGAACCGTACCGGTGGCTTTTGTGGCGTTTTATCTGCGTACAGTAGACCGTCGATCTATCCTGCTCCGCCGCTGCCCCGGCGCCGGAGCTCGGAAACGTCTACGGACAATGCATTGTAAACGGCTAATTATAGCCTCAGTCTTAACGATAAGCCGGCTTACGGCTATAACATACCAAAACGGTCTTTTTAAAAATGTTATGCTTTTAGCATAGAGAAACAAAGTATCTCTGATACCTCGCCCAATGTATCTCCGGAAGCTTTTAGCAGATAGTCTCACTTCAATCGAACCTAAAGAGCAAGCAAGCTTCCAGTGCTGTCAAGCTGCCAACATTTTGCTACTTACACCGGTATTTATTGCGATATTTTTCTTCCAGGCCCCAGGAGCGGCCGCACGAAGGGCTGTTGTGCGTTCGATGCCTGTTAGCAGGCGGCATGGAAATTGAAAGGTAAGCAGCAGCTGCAACAAACTTTTTCTGGAATGTTTTATCTACAGTGTACAAAGACGGAACAGTATATCCCAACGTTTGTCGAAGTGATTACGAGCGAGCGAGCGCAGCGAGCGAAGTGAGTCTTTTCAATATAACGGAAAAATCTCAGTATGAGCGGCCCGGCCCGGCCCGGCCCGGCCTGTAACGCTTTTGAGAGGTTTATATCTCAGCAAGCGCTGGACCGATTGGCCTGCGGTCTTTTTTGTTGGGTAGCCCCATCCCTACTACCCCGTAATTGACTACTTTTGATACATCGCAGTGACCGGCGTGGCACGTGCCACGTGAAAAGTCAAGGGTGTTCAAGCTGTTTTGCAAAAGTAGTGATTTTGAGAGGCTCATATCTCAGCAGCCGCTTGGGCGATTGGCTTGCGGTAATTTTTGTAGGGTAGCAGCATCCCTTCTACCAAAAAATAGGATACTCTTGATGCGTGTGGGTCACCCCAGTGCACGTGCAGAATACAACAATAAGAGGTGTCAAATTTGTTCCCATTTTAATAACTCGGTAATTACTGGGGCGATTTTGCTGAAACTTGGCATACAGGTAGGCACCCACCAGACAATGCATTCCCATGTGTTGCGGTTAAGGTGCTACTGCACGTGCGCACGTGCAGGGGGCGCTTCCAGATCTCGAGAATGGCTGGGCCGATTGCGCTCAAATTTGGTACACGGTTGGGGACCAGTTAGTAGGGTGCCGTGCAAAAGTCAGTTTGGACCCCGTTTGCACGTGCGCACATGCAGAATGCCGCTTCCAGATCTCAGGAACGGCTGGGCCGATTGCGTTCAAATTTGGTACACCGCTAGCGAACGGTTAGAAGGGTGCTTTGCGCAAGCCCGTTGGAAGTAACCTCTCGCCCTTCCGCACGTGCAGGGCTCACTATCTCGCTCGCTCGTTCTTCGCCCTAAAGGCGTTTTACTGGTATGTATGAGGACGTGTATTTCCCAGCTGGGGCATTCCACGATAGATCGTACCACTTTTTTCCAATTTGACACCCTCATCTCTCGGAATTTGACGAGAATTGGTCTCAGGGGTAATCAGGGGCTCTGAATCCACCTGTAACAATTTCAGGCTTATCAGATAAGTATTTTTTGAGTTATGGTGTATAACATTTTTTGGATCCTGCTTTGCAGCGCTAAGTTTGGCGGGCTGTAACTCTAAGATGGATTATTTAAATGCCAAATGTTATATAACATTGAACTTGCAATGAAACATTAATTAATGTGTATTTTTGAAATTTTGAAAAATACGCTGTTTTTGATATATGACATCGAGTTTTCTTTCATTTGTATTTTTTGGACTTTGGGACCAATTTTTTTTGAATTTTTATTTCTTTAAAAAAATATGTAGCTCATTGTTAAGAAGTATGCCAAAAATTAGGAAGGTGTTATTTCTATAAATGTATTTATTTTACGTCACGATAACGGTTTCGAATAGTGATTTCGGGAGGGAGCTTATAAATGGCGTGGTAAAGCTGCCTAGTGACATCACGGGTTACTGAAATTTCAATTTAAGTCTGATTCATCTGAAAAAGTGAAGAGGGTTCATCCAACCCTCTTTCCTATAAGCGCGAGGGTGAAAAAGGCTGTTTGGTTCTGACTTAGATTTGGACGCCAATGACCATAGCTGTCCGAGATGAAAGTTACAGGACGCATACATGGTGTCCTCCAGAGGTCTCACAACTTGTATATCTGGGAATTTTTCAAGGTTACATGATGCAGGTCGGTCACGTGACACCACTGTTATAAACCAATGGGAAAATATAAAAACTGTTATTTTGGCGCCGAGAATGATCTAAAACTATCCCACGTACATGGTATCGTGATTTCATGCACTCCTTGCAAAGTCCAATGCTTTACTTTTGCATTGTTAACCTTGCGTGACGTCATTTATGACGTCACTAGGTTCGTACGAGTTTTTCGTCAATAACTCCCGATCAAATGGAGCTAGAGAGTCGGGAAAGCCACCAATGGACTCGGGAAGACCTTCCGAATCGAATGATATGCCATATGATACCCTTTGCCCAGCTTCGTGACCTGAGGGGCTCTGACCTGACCTTGACCCGAGGTCAACTACTTAAGTTTACCTCACCCTAGCAAAAAGTATACTATTCGATGCACCTGAGCTAGGTGAACACAATGATGCCAAAATGGCGGCTCTGCGGCCATTTTTTGCGAAGTTATTTACTAAAAACCGAACCCGTAACTTCAGTCACGTGACCTGACCTCAGACGCTACCGGTTGACCTGAGACCTTAAAATCGGGTACCAATCGCTGCAACTTGTAACGGCACACACGCTCGTTTTTTCCGCGAGGCTCTAGCTCTATTAGAAGCGAAACGGCGTGCTGGGGTCGTATCAACCCCTCCGAAACCCATTTTGTTTGCGGGAAAATGAGGAACTTATAGAAAGAACACCTTTCTAATTTTTTGCATGTCGATTTGCAATGACATGAAGTTTATTTTGAAAAAAATAAAATGTGAAAAATGTTGGTCCCAAAAGTCATTAAAGGCAAATGAAAAAAGATTAAGGTTTTTGCTCAACAATGAAATTTTTTCTTTGGAATTTTTAAATAGTAATATTAATTTTTGATTCATCGCAAGCTTAGTGTTGTTTACTTTTTGTTGGTTGCTTAACCCGTTCTTGAGTTATAGGCCATCAAACTCACCGTTACATACCGAAGTTAAAAAAATGTTATGCAATATAACTCAAAAAGTTTTGATCTGAGAAGTCTGATATTTTGCCAGGCGTCTTTGGGGCCTATGATTACCCCTGGGACCGATTTTCATTAAAATCTGAGGGATGAGGGTGACGGGCCTGGTACGATCTATCGTGGAATGCCCCAGCTGTCAGTGATAATTTCTGAACTATAAATATGAAGGACAATAATGTTGGGTGTGGACATTTATAAAAAATATCACGACGATAAGTTGGGTGATTCTGTTTAGTTTTTCCGTTTGAATCAACGGTATCATATTCACTCACTTCATCTGATGACAACACCCAGCTCGCTTCCAGCTACGGCGATGCAGAAAAGTTTCCCTGTTAGCCTGACGGTCGGTGGCCGGCCGGGTGTGGCTGTCCGGTGGCGCTGGCTCTGACCGCGGTACCGTCTCCCCACAGGACGTGGTCCGGTGGCGGCTGTCGGCCCGAGTCCCTCTCCCGACACGGTGAGTGGCCAGCGGCCGTCCCGGCAGGCAGTGGCGCCGTCCCGCAGACCAGCTCCACATGAACCGTACCGGTGGCTTTTGTGGCGTTTTATCTGCGTACAGTACACCGTCGATCTCATAGAGATCTTATATACATAGAGATGACACGCCTATGTTAAAGCACTTGATTTCGTGGCGATTCAGTGGGTCTTTTTAAGCAAGGTTTTCTGGGGTGCCATGGCCCGTGACTTGCATTTTGTAAGGATTCGGTCAAGGAGATTGTGTTCACATCCGCTTATTTTTAAGTACAGTTTTTCTTTTTTGTCTAGCTGTGACGCTTTCGAGCGTTATTATTGAAATGAAATTAGGCATGTTTTAACCTTATGCTCGTATCAGGTACTGCATGTATCATTAACCCTCGCCGTCCGACGGGGGGGGGGGGGGGGAGGCGGGTGCCGCCTCCCTATAGGGGTTTCATGATAGCTCCGAACTCGCAGGAGATAGAGAGCTGAAACTTGGCATACCTGACCTTTGATCCAAGCCGCATCTTGTGACACCAACCGCATTTTCAGGTCAGGTCACTGACCTGTGACGTCATAAGTGAACCTCTGCACAGTCCTCAGATGTCGCAACTTCGCAACGCCGTCAGTGCCAGAGGAACTTTCACAGGGAGATGAAACTTACAGGATGTGGTATCATCCAGAGGTCTCACAACTTGTACATATATATCGGATTTTCCCTAAAAATCACATGAGGTCAGGTCGGCCGCGTGACCTCACCATTAGATATAAGTCAATGGGGAAAAATGAAAACTGCTATGTTAGCGCCGAGAACTATCTCAAACTGTCTCCAGCACATGGAATCGTGATTTCTTGCACGCCTTGCAAGGTCCGATGCTTCACTTTTGCATTGTTGACATTGCGTGGCGTCATTTATGGTCACTTGGGTCATTGATTAAAGAAAGCGCGGTTTTGAGGCTCATGATTACATATATAACTGCAATGAAAACCGTAGGAAGGTTTGACGAAAGTCACTTTGTCAGGTTGGCCAACATGTCTTATTTTCTTGGCCCTATTTTGAATATAATTATTAGCATGAGGCTTACGGTTTTCATTGCAGTTATATACTTGGGTCATTAGAGGTTTTCATCAATAACTCCCCATCAAATTGAGTTAGCGAGTCGGGAAAGCCACCAATAAACTCAGCAAGACCTGCCGATTCGAGTAATATGTAACATGACCTCTTTCAACCAGCTTCGTGATCTGAGGAAGCTGACCTGCCCTTGACCCGAGGTCAACACCTCAAGTTGACCTCACCCGAACAAAAAGTATACCATTCGACGCGCCTGAGCGAGGCGAACACGATGATGCCAAAATCGCGGCTCTCCGACCGTTTTTTGCGAAGTTATGAAAAAACTGAACCCTGGCCCTTGGTCACTTGACCTGACCTCATGAGACCTTAAAATCGGGTACCAGTCCCTGCGTCTTGTAACGGCACACACGCTTGTTTTTTCCGCGACGCTCTAGCTTCATCAGGGGCGAAACGGCGAGGGAAATCGTTCCGACCTCCCCCCCCCCCCCCCCCCCCGGCCGGCGCGTATGTAGAAAACCAATAGGTCTGGCGAGGGTTAATGTATCATTGAATGGGAACATGCAACATATGTATATTTGAGCTTGCACCGTGCTCAGAAAGGTTCAGAACAGCCGTTTTCACGACGGTTGACCGAAAGCGCCAAACTTGACCAAATCTCAAGGACCCTACCCTGAAAATTCCATGTGAACCTGACCCAAATGACCTTAGACCTGTAGCCTTTTTTTTGGGGGGGGGGCCATGTCAGGGGGGCCATAAAACATGCATCGCACAACCCTAGTAAATAGTAAAGTTGGTTCATGTGCTGACCCTTGGTGACCTGACCTGTGACCTGACATGGTATTACAGTGACCTCTAATAGCAACATATACATATACTAGGCAACGTACGCCCTATTTTTAACGTACGCGAAACATTTTATCTTTGACCTGACCTGTGACGTCATCGGTGACCCCGAGGTCAATGAAATTGGAGTTCCGTCGACAAATTTGACAGGGCTATCGAACATCGTTTGAATGTTACGGATCCGTCCAGTAGTTTCGGAAATACGGGAGGGGGCAAAAAAATGCCCCCCCCCCCCCACCGCGCGGAAGGTGGCCGGGAGGTCCACCGCCTGCCGGGTTAATGAGAGCCTGAATGAGAGAGAATGTTTTTAGGCGAGCTTTTAAGGAATTCAATAAAAACACAAAATGACATCATGTTACAAATTTCATTGCTTACCTCAGGAATGAAATCAGCCAGGAAAGAACAGCAATATTTTTAACCAGCAAAACGCCTTTTGGGGCGACCAACGGAGCGAGCGAGAGCGTGGGCCTTGGACAAGCGAATTTGCAAGGGACACCTCCAACTAACTTGTGCACTGCACCCTACTAACCGGTCCCTAGCGATGTGCCAAATTTGAGCGCAATCGGCCTAGCCGTTCTCGAGATCTGGAAGCGGCACCCTGCACGTGCACGCGTGCAAAATGGGTCACAACCGACTTTTGCACGGCACCCTACGAACTGGTCCCTAACCATGTACCAAATTTCAGCACAATCAGTTCAGCCGTTCTCGAGATCTGGAATCGACCCCTGCACGTGCGCACGTGCAGCAGCACCCCAACTGTGGCACATGGATATGCATTGCCTAGTGGGTGCCTACCTACATACCAACTTTCAGCGCAATCGGCCAAGTAGTTACCAAGATATTGCAACAATTGCAAAACTGACACCTCTTCGTTTTGCACGTGGCACGTGCATAAGCGGTCACCCACATGCATCGAGAATAGTCCAATACTTGGTAGAAGGAATAAAGCTACCCTAGAAAAATCATCGAATGTAAATCGGTCAAGTGGTTGCTGAGATATAAGCCTCGCAAAAGCGTAACCACGGCCGGCCGGCCGCTCATACTCAGAAATTTCCGTTAATCTACGAAAGACTACGCTTGCTTCGCTCGCTACGTAGTAATTTCTTCAGACTAACAATGCCTCAGCCATATTGGCACGCTACTGGCTGAAAATAAGTTGCTTAAAAAGACCCACTGAATCGCCACGATTTTAAGTGCATGTCATCTCTATGTATATAAGATCTCTATGGTCGATCTATCCTGCTCCGCCGCTGCTCCGGCGCACAGTCTTGCCGAATACCAGATTAGCGCGAATTTAATCAAAAACCTGACTTTCGATAAACTGTTATTTATACCTATCAGTGGGTAGGAAATTGTCTGAAGTTATCTGATAGAACCTTATTTTTAAGCCACTTTACCATTTGAGGACTTATATCCCTGCCGAAAGTAGACCCACGCTCCGGTTCCTAAAATCGGGCTATGGTACTGATAAATATGTCCAGTTTTCAACGTAAATTTTACGGAAGTTTCGAGAAGATATATGAGAAAATAGCATATCACCGGATAGCACAATTCATGATGAAGCTGTTTCTGCTATCATGGTAGCTTTTCAATGAATGGTTTTTGAGTTTAATGAGTTAGAACAAGAGCCCTGCATGTGTATCGTTCTCACGATAGTATTTAATAAAGAAGTTGAAAAATGTCAAAATGGATAAAAATGGATATGACGAATAGGGCATGGCTGAACTCTCCGCACCTTTCTGAACATAAGCGAGCAAGTTTCAGCTGCCAGTTCTTGCCTATTTGCCGTCAACTCAGCTTTGAACATGTCTAGTCGGCCGCCCTATGTGACCTGACCAAGGTCGGGGGCGGCGCGGCCGGACAGGCTCCAGCCTAATAAACTATCTCAAGCACACGAAATCGTGATTTCATGCACTCCTTGCAAGGTCCGATGCTTCACCTATGCATTGTTGGTCTTACGTGACGTCATTTATGACGTCACTAGGGTAATAAGAGTTTTTCGTCAATAACTCCCGATTAAATTGAGCTAGCGAGTCGAGAAAGCCACCAATGGACTCAGGAAGACTTGCTGAATCGAATGATATGCAACATGACCTCCTTCAACCAACTTCGTGATCTGGAGGACTCTGACCTGACCTTGACCCACGGTCAACACCTTAAGTTAACTTCAGCCGAACAAAAAGTATACCATTCGACGCGCCTGAGTGAAGCGAACATGATGATACCAAAATTGCGGCTCTGCGGCATTTTTTCGCGAAGTTATTAATAAAAAATGAATCCGCGCCTGGGTCACTTGACCTGACCTCAGAGGTCACAGGTTGGCCTAAGACCTTAAAATCGGATACCAGTCGCTGCGTCTCGTAACGGCGCACACGCTCGTTTTTTCCGCGGGGCTCTAGCTTCATCAGGGGCGAAACAGCGACGGGGGTCGTACCACCCCCCCCCCCCCCTTCGGCCGGCGCGTATTTTGAAAACCAATAAGTCCGGCGAGGGGTAAGTGTCAGTTTTGGAACCAGAGAACCATTTTCAGTGGATCCGAGCAGCGCTGGGATTAAATTCGCGCTAAACTGGTGTTCGGCCACACTGTGCGGCGGTGGAGCGCGGAAATGTCTACGGACAATATATTACCGTAAGGTTGGCTATAGTCTCAGTCGTAATGATACGCCGGCCTACGGCTACGCGATCTTTTTAAAGAGAAACAAAGAATCTCTGATGCCTCTCCCAAGGTATCTCCGAAAGCTTTAGCAATTAGCAAGTCAGTCTCCCTGCAATCGAACCTAAAGAGCAAGCTTCCAGTGCAGTGTCAAGCTGCCAACATTTTGCTACTCACACACCGGTATTTACATTGCTATGTTTTTCTTTCAGGCCGCACGAAGGGCCGTCGTGCATTCCAGGGCTGCGGAGTCGGAGTCGGAGTCGGTCGGAGTCGACAATTCTGCCCGGAGTCGGAGTCGGAGCTGGTTTTTGAAAGCCGGAGTCGGAGTCGGAGTCGCCGAAAATCCATCGACTCCGCAGCCCTGGTGCATTCGATGCTGTTAGCAGGCGCCATGGAAATTGAGAGGTAAGCAGCAGCTGCAGCAAACTCTTTTTCTGGAATGTTTTATCTACATTGAACTAAGACGGAACAGTATATCCCAACGTTTGTCGAAATTATATGTATGAGGACGTGTATTTCCCAGCTGTCAGTGATAACTTGTGAACTAAAAATACGAAGGACAATGGGTCTAGATCTTTGTTAAAATATCACGACGATAAATATTGGGTGATTCTGTTTCGTTTTTCCGTTTGAATCAACGGTATCATATTCATTCACTTCATCTGATGACAACACCCAGCTCGCTTCCAGCTACGGCGATGCAGAAAAGTTTCCCTGTTAGCCTGACGGTTGGTGGCCGGCCGGGTGTGTCTGTCCGGTGACGCTGGCTCTGACCGCGGTACCGTCTCCCCACAGGACGTGGTCCGGTGGCGACTGTCGGCCAGAGTCCCTCTCCCGACACGGTGAGTGGCCAGCGGCGGTCCCGGCAGGCAGTGGCGCCGTCCCGCAGACCAGCTCCACATGAACCGTACCGGTGGCTTTTGTGGCGTTTTATCTGCGTACAGTAGACCGTCGATCTATCCTGCTCCGCTGCTGCCCCGGCGCCGGAGCTCGAAATGTCTACGGACAAAACATCAGTGTTCTAAAATTGGATATTGGTTAGGTGTGCCGATGAAGAAAAAAATCTTAGGATGAAAAAAGAGAGTAAATAACTGCAGTATTTTTGCAAAATGGTGTAATGCCAATTTTTATGCTAACTGATAAACCAGGATTTCATGTCAGGATCTTGACAGGGTGTGGAACAAAAGGATGTGGGTGCATCAACTGTCAAGTGACAAGTGAACTGGCTGTTGGGAATACATGAAACTCTTTTCAGAGATGAAGTAAAGTTGGTCATTCATATTTTAGAGATGAAAATATTTTCCCCATTAGGTGTGATTTGCCACCAAAAAGGCTGAAAAATGAAACACTGCAAAACATTGCCGCAGACAGCTAACGATCTTGGTTGTTATGATAAGCTGGCATAAGCGTAGGAACCATGGGTGCAAGGGTGCAGCTGCACCCACAATATTTATCCAGTGGGTGCAGACAATGTATTCTGCACCCACAATAATCTGAACCAAAAAACCCTTTTTCATCAACACTACTTCCCATGCAGCACGGCAAATTCAGGATATGTTGCCTACTATCCATCTTTCGAAGCATTTGCTACTGTGATCAGTGATGGTCTTCAAAACTTACATTTGTGCTGAAAAAAGGGAAATGGAGCATGTGATTGAACACATACCGAACCGATGACCCACTGTCAAAAATTTTAGCCCGATATCTTCGAAAAATGGCTAAGTTGGCCGCTTTTACTTTTTGCGGTAGTCAATATTGACAATATTAGCCCTCGAATGTGTGCAGCGTTTTCCAGCTTCTAATGTGTAGGGGGAGGGGGGTCGGTCGGACCCCCTGCCGTTCGGCCCCTGATCGAGCTAGAGCTTCGCGGAAAAAGCGAGGGTGTTGCCCGTGACGAGAGGAAGCCGATGATACCCAATTTTAAGGCCCTACTTCATTGGTTGACCTTCCAGGTCAGGTCAATATTCCAAAAGTCTGGAAAATCGGGACCTGCTAGAACTGCGTAAAGTGAAGCTGTTATTGGGTTTTTCGGGGTGCTGATCACGAATATCTGATGTTAGTTTTGATCACAGATGATTTCTTCATGCATTTAGGCCAGATCGGGTTAGGTCAGGTCAGGTCAACCATTAGGTGTCCTACCGGCTATCCATAGTAGGTGTCAACTACCACTGACGGCGTCGTAGCATGTCACGAAAGCACTAAAACTACTTCGTAAACGTTCAAATGGATGCTAAATTCGAAATCAGCCCTATAAACTACCCTAGAAACATGTAAAACTCGAAAAAGTGAACCGAGGTCATCAAAGGTCAATGACCTGACCTGACCTTCAGGTTATCTTCACACCCACCGTGATGCATGGGAAGAACATCATTTCACATGTTTGGACGTCTACAATCACAAAAAGACTGGAAACGCGCGGATAATGTGAGCTGACATACGCCAAATCGCGATTCCGGCCGAACATGGTCTTGAGAATCAGGTCTGACAGGTCAAAGGTCTTTTGGGTTAGGGTCATGAAATTTTTAGAGTAGGTGTAAAACTGATCAACTCGAGGGTACTAAAACTTTCGTCGCGATCGGCCGCTTTTTGCGCGAGTTATTTGCGAACAACCATGGGGGGGGGGGGGTTCATCCGACCCCCCTACACATGCGAGGGTCAATGCTTCCAAATGCACTTATCGGTTGGTACCTTTTCGACATGGTACACCCTCAAAGCTCGTAACGAGCCTTCGCTCGGGTGTCGCCCCCCCCCCCCCGCTTCACCGGCCATGGCTGGATTTCTGCACCCTTGCACCCACAATGTTCCAGCCGTTCCTACGCCCATGTAAGCTGGCTTTCGGCCGCCGATTTTGACAATGGTAGCGGATTAAAAAATATAATAATGTCTTGGGTATCAGCTCCGCGGAAAGCCTTATATGCAAGCTGGTGTCATTTCGTTCGAATTTAGAGAGGAAGATTCTAGTCGACTATTTCTGCTGCTCATACACTGTTATTTATCGGAGTTTTATTACCTTTCCAGGCTCTACGAAATCGCGCCAAAGACTCATTATTTCTGTGAAGTGGACTGACTCCCTTCTGCAGGTAAGCAGCATCAGTATCTTGCTCGGTTTGAGTTTTTTGTAGATGATTGAACGAATAATGACTACCTATTGAATGAAATGTCTCAACGATTCGTCAAAGTAACCTGACCTTCATTTTCTTCCCTGTGCCCATGAAAATTTACCGTGGGTTCGGACTGGCCGTTTTATTTTGCGTGGAATTTCTATTCCAAAGAACTTCTCACGAAAACAACCGTTTGGACAAGCCCGTTTCGCGATAACCGAACGGCTGTTTTCCTTAGGGATTCCTCGGCGTGGAAATTCCACGCGAAAAACGGCCTGGCCGAACCCAAGCTTAAACCATCAAAGTAAAATAGTTTTGGGCCATGACTGTTACCTTGAATATCGATGTCACTTGCCTATGTGCTTTTAAGACGCATTTTTTCTACCTATGAATTAACGGTATCATATTCATTCACTTCATCTGATGACAACACCCAGCTCGCTTCCAGCTACGGCGATGCAGAAAAGTTTCCCTGTTAGCCTGACGGTGGGTGGCCGGCCGGGTGTGCCGGTCCGGTGACGCTGGCTCTGACCGCGGTACCGTCTCCCCACAGGACGTGGTCCGGTGGCGGCTGTCGGCCCGAGTCCCTCTCCCGACACGGTGAGTGGCCAGCGGCGGTCGCGGCAGGCAGTGGCGCCGTCCCGCAGACCAGCTCCACATGAACCGTACCGGTGGCTTTTGTGGCGTTTTATCTGCGTACAGTAGACCGTCGATCTATCCTGCTCCGCCGCTGCCCCGGCGGCAGAGCTCGGAAATGTCTACGGACAATATATTACCGTAAAGTTGGCTGAAGTCTCAGTCGTAATGATAAGCCGGCCTTCGGCTTCATATCATAGCGATCTTTTTAAAGATGTTATGCTTTTAGCATAGAGAAACAAAGAATCTCTGATGCCTCGCCCAAGGTGTCTCCGGAAGCTTTAGCAGATCAGTCTCCCTTCAATCGAACCTAAAGAGCAAGCAAGCTTCCAGTGCTGGCAGGCTGACAACATTTTGCTGCTCACACACCGGTATTTATTGCGATATTTTTCTTCCAGGCCCCAGGAGCGGCCGCACGAAGGGCCGTCGTGCATTCGATGCTGTTGGCAGGCGCCATGGAAATTGAAAGGTAAGCAGCAGCTGCAGCAAACTTTTTCTGGAATGTTTTATCTACAGTGTACTAAGACGGAACAGTGTATCCCAACGTTTGTCGAAATTATGTGTATGAGGACGTGTATTTCCCAGCTGGGGCATTCCACGATAGATCGACCAAAATTTTATCAGATTTACACCCGACCATTTTTGATTTTGATGAAATCTTGTCTACAGGGTTCTCTTATGCCCTGAAGTCAATGGTGACAACGCCAGACCCCTACGGTCAGCGGTTTAGGAGATATAGCCCCGGGCATTTTGACGAGGTCACTCTGCAGAGTGATTTTTGAAGTGCTATATCTCCTAAAGGAATGAAGGAAATGCATTAAACCTTTGCATCGTTGTGATCGTGGTGAAATGGGCAATTAATTGGCCATCTCGGATTTTCAAAAAAAAAAAAAAGATTTTGATTTTTAGCTGTGACATCATCAATTTTTAAACTTTCTGGCTACCCCCCTAGTACATTAAAATTTGCCATTATTTTTGCTCAGAAATAAAGTTCCGTCAATTTCCTTTCGACTGGGAAAAAACAAAAATGGTAATCTTTCTACAAATATTTTATTTTATTTTTTGAAAATCGCACTACAAACTCTGATTTACAGAATCGGGTTATTAAGCAATATAAGACACATCTGCGAGGACCAGTTACTTCCAAAAAGAGGTTATCTGGGTTTCGGCATATAATATTCTTCTCTTTAACTTCACTTTTGATAACAAAAAAAGAACTTTAATATTACTTGCACAGGAGTCAATATATGGCAAAATTATACATACTTTTGAGCTGCCACAGCTGCCTTGTTTATCAACGTAGCTCAAATGACCAACCGACAGTCGATTTGCAAAGCATATTTACGAACCGACTAATTTTAACCCTCGCCCCGTTGGGGGGGGGGCATTTTGGCCCCCCCTGTGGTTTTTCCTGAATAGCAAGAAAACGGCGGCGCGCAGCGCCGCCAAATTTTCAGTACCTTCCCGGGCATCAATTTGACACTTTCACACCAAATTTCAAGTCTTAGGTCACCTTAGGTCAGGAGTTATTGAGGTCAAACTGAGGTCATGTTCGAGCAAAAATGAGCAAAAAACATGCAATCTTGAAACGCTCACCAAATCTACAGTTATCAAGCAATTTCAAAGTTCTTTATATGGTCTAGTAGACAAAAAGCGGCGCTACAAAACTGCTATCTCGGATTTTCAAAATTTTTGGTTTTTTCCCAAAAAACATTCAAAAAATTGATTTTTTTAGAAAAACTTTGAAAAAATCCAAAATTTTTCCGAATTTCGAAAAAACGGAATATATGTTATAGTCCCAGCGCTCTTCTATATACATACCAAATTTCAGATCGATATCTCGTTTTTTGGCCAAGTTATAGCGAAAAAACTGTTCAAAAATGATGACGTCAAATTTTTGAACTCAATTTTTAGCAATTCTAGAGCACGTACGGCAAAACAAAGACCACCATTGAACTCCCCGTGACGAGCTGCATCGATTCAATACCCATTTTATGTAAAAATATTAGCTTTGAAATTTGACCTAATTTGACCTGACCTTGACCTGACCTTGACCAAAACGTGATCTAAGCTGGCCCCAAAGGCTGCCTGACCCATATAATCGCATTTGTCATGTAAAATGGACCATAAAACATGTATCACACGACACTTTCATATTGTGACCCCCGTCCCGTGACCTGACCTCTGTGACCTGACCTGGTATCAGTGACCTCAAATAGCGAAATATGTGTTTGAAGAACATTTCCCCATCGATGATTTTCAATGAAATGCATTTTACTCGATTTTACAACGCATTTCTTGAAGTGCCTGTAAACGGTGAAAATTGGACCTTTGACCTGACCTGTGACGTCATCGGTTTGACCTAGGTCAATAAAATTGGGTCACAAGGTAGTTCCCCGTTGGGGCTATCCAACGCCGTTTACCGCTTGTCGTTATGTTGCGTGGTTCTCGAGATCTTAGGGGGGGGGCCAAAATGCCCCCCCCCCCAACCGGGCGCGTTGCTCGGCAGAGCCCAACGGGGCGCGGGATAAACGAACAAAATAATTGGTAGTTTCAGGAAGGCAAAAGGTGGTGTAATGTGACTAGGTATTTCATCAGCGAATCATCATTTTCAACGCTGGATGCAATGAAAGCCATAAACAACGGAGTGCATTTCTATTGCAGTTGCAATAACAGACGGCAAAAAACCAAGACAGGAACGAGATCACGGCCACACAAACACACTTTTTACTTGGAACGTTTCGTCCGAGCATGCATGCTCACGACACGACCCTCATCCGTTGAGAGTTCGTGAACTCTAAGAGATGATACAGTCACAGGTGTGCAAGTAATATTAAAGTTCTTTTTTTTTTTGTTATCAAAAGTGAAGTTAAAGAGAAGAATATTATATGCCGAAACCCAGATAACCTCTTTTTGGAAGTAACTGGTCCTCGCAGATGTGTCTTATATTGCTTAATAACCCGATTCTGTAAATCAGAGTTTGTAGTGCGATTTTCAAAAAATAAAATAAAATATTTGTAGAAAGATTACCATTTTTGTTTTTTCCCAGTCGAAAGGAAATTGACGGAACTTTATTTCTGAGCAAAAATAATGGCAAATTTTAATGTACTAGGGGGGTAGCCAGAAAGTTTAAAAATTGATGACGTCACAGCTAAAAATCAAAATCATTTTTTTGAAAATCCGAGATGGCCAATTAATTGCCCATTTCACCGCCATCACAACGATGTACAGGTTTAATGCATTTCCTTCATTACTTTAGGAGATATAGCACCTCAAAAATCACTCTGCAGAGTGACCTCGTCAAAATGCCCGGGGCTATATCTCCTAAACCGCTGACGGTAGGGGCCTGGCGTTGTTACCATTGACTTCAGGGCATAAGAGAACCCTATAGACAAGATTTCATCAAAATCAAAAATGGTCGGGTGTTAGGCCTTGGTCGATCTATCGTGGAATGCCCCAGCTGTCAGTGATAATTTCTGAACTATAAATATGAAAGACAATAATGTTGGGTCTGGACATTTGTTAAAATATCACGACGATAAGTTGGGTGATTCTGTTTCGTTTTTTCGTATGAATCAACGTTATCACATTCATTCGCTTCATCTGATGACAACACCCAGCTCGCTTCCAGCTACGGCGATGCAGAAAAGTTTCCCTGTTAGCCTGACGGTCGGTGGCCGGCCGGGTGTGCCGGTCCGGTGACGCTGGCTCTGACCGCGGTACCGTCTCCCCACAGGACGTGGTCCGGTGGCGGCTGTCGGCCCGAGTCCCTCTCCCGACACGGTGAGTTGCCAGCGGCGGTCCCGGCAGGCAGTGGCGCCGTCCCGCAGACCAGCTCCACATGAACCGTACCGGTGGCTTTTGTGGCGTTTTATCTGCGTACAGTAGACCGTCGATCTATCCTGCTCCGCCGCTGGCCCGGCGCCGGAGCTCGGAAATGTCTACGGACAAAATATTACCGTAAAATTGGCTATAGCCTCAGTCGTAATGATAAGCCGGCTTACGGCTTCATATCATAGCGATCTTTTTAAAGATGTTATGCTTTTAGCGTAGAGAAACAAAGAATCTCTGATACCTCGCCCAATGTATCTCCGGAAGCTTTAGCAGGTCAGTCTCCCTTCAATCGAACCTAAAGAGCAAGCAAGCTTCCAGTGCTGTCAAGCTGCCAACATTTTGCTGCTCACACACCGGTATTTATTGCGATATTTTTCTTCCAGGCCCTAGGATCGGCTGCACGAAGGGCTGTCGTGCATTGGATGCTGTTGGCAGGCGCCATGGAAATTGAAAGGTAAGCAGCAGCTGCAGCAAACTTTTTCTGGAATGTTTAATCTACAGTGTACTAAGACGGAACAGTGTATCCCAACGTTTGTCGAAATTATGTGTATGAGGACGTGTATTTCCCAGCTGTCAGTGATAATTTCTGAACTATAAATATGAAAGACAATAATGTTGGGTCTGGACATTTGTTAAAATATCACGACGATAAGTTGGGTGATTCTGTTTCGTTTTTCCGTATGAATCAACGTTATCATATTCATTCGCTTCATCTGATGGCAACACCCAGCTCGCTTCCAGCTACGGCGATGCAGAAAAGTTTCCCTGTTAGCCTGACGGTCGGTGGCCGGCCGGGTGGGTCTGTCCGGTGACGCTGGCTCTGACCGCGGTACCGTCTCCCCACAGGACGTGGTCCGGTGGCGGCTGTCGGCCCGAGTCCCTCTCCCGACACGGTGAGTGGCCAGCGGCCGTCCCGGCAGGCAGTGGCGCCGTCCCGCAGACCAGCTCCACATGAACCGTACCGGTGGCTTTTGTGGCGTTTTATCTGCGTACAGTAGACCGTCGATCTATCCTGCTCCGCCGCTGCTCCGGCGCCGGAGCTCGGAAATGTCTACGGACAAAACATCACTGTAAACGAAGTTCTTACTTCTTAGTCATATCATACGAACATGCTTTGCCATTTTTACACAAAATAGCTGTTCCTAAGATTCCTGTTTGTTGACTGTTGTTCTTACCCTCAGGTTTCACGGAGGTACCCAGCTTTTACGAAGCCGGTGCATTCATTGCAGTAACATTTACCTGGTAAGCACCTAAATATATTCTTTTCGCGTTTTTGTGAGTCTTGCTGTCAGTTTTCCGTTAAGACTCGAGTCTGTCTCCGTCACTGAATTCACGTGTCGCGAACTTTGCCCCGACCCGGTGATGCTATGGCTGCGGTCGGCTTTCCCATGTCGCGAACAGAGACTGGACAAACCTCAGTATCGACTGTCGGTGAACACGCCGACTGCCGGACGAAGTTTGTGCACATTCTGTCTGTTCTGTCAACTATGATGTTCTATAATTCATTTGTGCGTATCGAACAGCAACTTCTTGAAGACTACGCTGCGGAGTGCTTAGCGTTACAGCAACCCGTGCTCTCTTTCAGGCTACGCGGCGGCAGACTGGTGGGATCGCCGTAGAATGACTGTCGGCCACGTTGACGAGGTGAGAACGGACATGTTCTCATGTGTAAAGAGTGATTTCTAGTTCATGATGATAACACCCAGCTCGCTTCTAGCTACGGCGATGCAGAAAAGTTTCCCTGTTAGCCTGACATATTCGTCGGTATTTTCCCCAGTAGTGTATTCTCCGACCATGTGCTGACGCTTACCGCCCTGTGCCTTCAGGTTCCCGGTCGTCGCGTCGCTCTGTGGAGCGGGCTGAAGAACGATATGGTGGACGTTCACCTGCGATTGGCGGTCCGCGGCAAAACGAGTGGTGAGTGAGCTGCCCTTTTGATCAGCGCCTTTAGACTGTCGGCTTGATGTGTGTGGGGGGCGGTAATCATTGGTTGTGCTGGTGCCTTCAAGCTCGCGCTCCTCACAGCTGTTTTGCCAGTATGAGTAAATGTGGTCAGATATAGGCGCGCTGTTCGGGCGGACTCCCTTGCAACTGCGCAGATCAGCTCCAGCGGAGCGTTTCCATGGCTCCGCTGGCGTTCCCTACCTGCGAACATTACAACTGTCGAACCGCTATACCGACCCGGCTTTTGACTTCGTGTCGGTACGACGTTTGCCTACAAGTTGTTCCGTAAAAATTGAAGTTTATATTAGTGTATGGAAAAGAAACGTCTCAGCTGGATTTTGCTAACCATGAAATGTCCGTAGATTGTTGAATTATCGTGGATAATTGCCAGATATATTTATGGCGTCCCAGTCCGCCGCCGTTCATATTATCTTTGAGTTTACGCTAACCGTGCAACGCTGGACGTGATGTGTTCAACCGTCTGTGTATGGCTGGCACTGTGCGGGTCTGCCTGCCGTGCGGGCCGGCCTAACAGGCCAGGGGCCACCTCCGAGTGCCCGCGGCGACGCCCGGGTCGAGGCGGGCGTGAGCACTGGCGGTGCGCGTCCAGTGGTCGTCTGGGTGCGCTCGCGTGTGGTGGGAGGCGGTGTCACTCCGGGAATCTACGTGCGGACTGCGGTGGTAACACGGCTTTGTTTCGTTTCAGTGAACGGTGGGACAGCTAATGAGGCAACTCGACTCTGGATGCTTGCAGATCGTCTTTCGTGGTGAGCTGAACTCGTAAAGAGTTCTTAAGGACATGAAAATGCTACTGTTAAGTTGCCCCCTGTAAAGTAAGGGGGCTCCAGAAATTGCCACTAGACACCGAGGTGCCTGAGGCGTGTTAAGTTACGGGTGTAAGCACGGAAGTCATCACTAGACGATCCTCTGACTTCAGCTTCCCCTAGATCAAGGACGAGAGATGCGTGTTGAAGGAATCTTCTATGTATATCTGTTGTATGATGTTTTTAGGAAGTTTCACCATGGTTTTGCCGAGATTAGCTTGTGAGGAAAAGTTATGTTCAATTATAATGGATCTGTTATATGTGCGCTCACTCTCCCCTGTATTCAGTCTTGGAGCGGGTATTCTGTGCAAAGGACTGTTCTGACTGTGGTCATTTTAGTGGTTCCTGAAAGGTGTGGGGTATATCAGCGCCATCTATGATCGGTTTTTGTCCCTAGGGAAACTGATTGCAAGGATTGGGGCCGACGTTGCTGCCGTTCTGCTTGAAGTTTTCCAGTCTCTTCTGTCTACTAGCAACGCCTAATGGTACGTAAGTCCATATCACGAGAGGGTGTTTCTTGTCTTTCCTGATGACACCTATAATGGCAAGGGTGGCCGCTGCCCGCCGCCTGGTCACGCCCCCACGTCCGCTCTAGGGGTCACTGACGGGCACTTGATGCCCCGCCGCTCACCCCTGGGAAGGTCTGAGACGAGGCACACCCGCCAGGGTGGCGGGATGCCCTAGCAGGGCACCGTCCTAGCCGGGACGGGTGGATGAACAGAAAAGGGCCCTGGCCGGCGGGCGCCTAGGACGCGCTGGGGCGCCCTCTCAGTGGCGCCGGGCGCCGAGGCGATGCCCGCCGGCTCTGGTTGGAAGCGTCTGCGTGCGGCCGCTGCGAGTGCGATGAGCGGGGCGCCGGTCGGCGTAACTCAATTCAGACTACCCTGGGGGCGTGGCGTGGGCGGCGGGCGGACGGCGGGACCCCGTGTGCCGCGATTATGAGAGCTGACTGGCGTGTGACGGCGCCCATCCCGGCCGCACCGCTGCAGTGTTTGACGACTGGCCTGTCCTTCAGGCTGACTGCGGCCCCTGGATGACATCACGATGCCTTGGGACCGGGACGGCAGCGGAAAGCTTGAGGTGAGACATATTCAATATTCAGTTCTTGATAAGCCGGAAGACAGTTTCAGTATGTGTTGGTATCTGTTTTGCGTGAACTTTTGCAACGTTACCACTATTTAAACTGTCCTGTGTTGTCTTTTTCGACTTTAACCCGCGCCCCAGTGGCGGTCTCAGCCAACTTCGCCCTAGTGAGGGGGGGGGCATATGTTACCACCCACCTCTAACTCAAAAACTAAGAGGGCTAGAAAGACGCGGTAAAAAGCAGTCGATAGCTCTCAATGCGTACGTTTGAAAGTATTTCGGTCATTTTTCACCTTAGAGCAATATTGGGGTCACCAGAGGTCATCAAAGGTCAAAATTTGCCAATTGTCATTATATTTTTCAAAAAACATGCCGCTATCTCAGGAACTATGGTAGATAGAAAATCGCATTGAAAATCAATCGATAGCTTTTGAACTCTTCTTTTGATAAGGTCATTATCCAAATTCACCTCAGGTCAACGGTTTAGCCTACAGAGGGCAAAAACTCCAAAAATAACTGTTTTTACGAAAAGCGTTTTTCGACAATAACTTTCGACTCCAAAAAGCCACGACATTTCTATTGCCAGAATCGTGTTCCCCTCGCCAAGACGCGTCGAATGAACTATAATTTGACCTTGAAAGGTCAACTTGAAAATTTGACCTCAGGTCAAGGTCATGACCTGACCGGAAAAGGTCATGTTGCATATCAGTCGATCCGTCTCGGCAAGACAAACACAATGAGACCATCCCCAGCGTTCTATCTCTTTCCAATCGCGAGTTATTGGCAAAAAACTGTTTGTAGCCTCAAATGACCTCGGATGACCTTTCTAGAGGCTATCAGCAAAAATGACACCTTGGTCATCACGAGCGGTCTAAATCTTTTTGATTCTGAAATATTTGGACTGTTCCTCTGCGTACACACGGATCTAGAGGCATTTTCATTTTTCTCCATTGACTTGTAATGGAAAGGTCACGCCACTGACCTGACCTTAGGTCACGGATATAAAAAATCCCAGATATACAAATTGTAGGCGCCCATAACAGCATGCAATCCACCAAGTTCAAAACCTTTCTGACAAACACTGCAGGCTGGACAGGATTGCAAACTTTGTTTAGGCTTGGTCAGTCAACTTGACCTGGTGACCTGACCTGACATGACCTGGGGTCAAAAATTTTACACATTGTCCAAAATTAATGTACCAAAAGCTACCTCAAGCGGCGCGGCGCTACGCGCCGCGGTTTTTTATTCACACGCAAAAAACGTGACAGGGTGGTAACATATGCCCCCCCCCCCCCCCACTGGGGCGAAGGTTAATGCCACAGACTAGGTTGCAGCTCAGTCAATACTTCCCGTTAATAGTTTTATTTTAAAAAAAGATGCAACGCACATTTATTTTGGATTAAATAAAAAATTTGACGACTGCGTATTTCAAAATTCAGTACCAGAATGTCCTGCAGTTCACTAATTGAACTCGTTTATATCGTTCGGTGCTGGAAAACAAACCGCAGCGCCAAATTGAATTTCGACGATCGGTTTTGACACGGTCTGGCGCCGTTTTCTTAGAAGCTGGATTGGTATACCTGTGTTTCTTCGAGAGGTCAAAAACATTTTAATGCGATCGGTAATGTCGGTTGAGGTTTCATTTGAGTCCGTCACATCGTTACAAAATTGTATTTTGGATTAGTTAGTTGTCTGAAGGGAAATTCCTCTCCAAAGAGGGGAATGAGTAGGATATTGGTACTTCCAAGGACACAAATATTTGCGGTTAAATGCTCCGGAGTTTATAGAAGTTGTTTCAATATTAGTGGCTGATTTTTATTATCGATAAACTCGATTGACATTGATCAATGCCGTTGACGCCGGAGGTATACACTATTCAATTATGTATGGCTTTATTGATTGGCAAAGTTAGGCTGATGTACAATTGTCCTATCCTGATGACACCTACAATGGCAAGGGTGGCCGCTGCCCGCCGCCTGGTCACGCCCCCACGTCCGCTCTAGGGGTCACTGACGGGCACTCGATGCCCCGCAGCTCACCCCTGGGAAGGTCTGAGACGAGGCACGCCCGCCAGGGTGGCGGGATGTCCTAGCAGGGCACCGTCCTAGCCGGGACGGGTGGATGAACAGAAAAGGGCCCTGGCCGGCGGGCGCCTAGGACGCGCTGGGGCGCCCTCTCAGTGGCGCCGGGCGCCGAGGCGATGCCCGCCGGCTCTGGTTGGAAGCGTCTGCGTGCGGCCGCTGCGAGTGCGATGAGCGGGGCGCCGGTCGGCGTAACTCAATTCAGACTACCCTGGGGGCGTGGCGTGGGCGGCGGGCGGACGGCGGGACCCCGTGTGCCGCGATTATGAGAGCTGACTGGCGTGTGACGGCGCCCATCCCGGCCGCACCGCCGCAGTGTTTGACGACTGGCCTGTCCGCCAGGCTGACGGGGGCCCCTGGATGACATCGCGGCGCCCTCGGACCAGGACGGCAGGGGAGCGCTTGAGGTGAGATATTACTGATATTTCCGATTCGTGGATGTAAGACTGATTTTTGTGTATTGACATCTTTTAGTAGTATTTTTGTAACGATTTTCCCACGAACACCATCCTGCGAAGTCCTTTGCAACTCTAAAGCTCGGGGCCTTCATCTCTCAGAGACTTGTTTCACTTAACGCGATTATTCCGTGCTACGAGGTATTGGCGCTAATTTTTCATTAAAACGAAAGCAAAACTACGAACTAAATTAGTCATCACTTACTTTTTTGCTCAAACCAAAGTGCAAATACCATGCAACGGCCTGCCATGAAACAGGGCCATGCTGTCTATCATAGGTACGTTTTAAGGGTAATGCAGCCTATTCAATAGCTGTGTCGGATTTTTTTTTTTGCGAAAACATGAAGATCGCACGATTCTTCTGTTCAAATTGAACTTATGTCATTGGAGGGAGCGTTATCAAATGGCCTTAGATTTAAAGATTATATCCCGCCAAAAGAATTGATTGGATTCGAAACAGACCGTGCTCAATTGCTGCAAAGCAGATCGCATTCAGACAAACCCATCATTTTTAGTACGGTCTGTCGTGAGCAGATGGGCTTGGAAGGTAACTTGTTTATCCGGGTTAAAAAGTACCCTAAACCCCAATAAACAAATAATCGGTTGATCTTTCTGCCGTCGGAAGGAAAAAAGCCGTAAGTCGCATTTTTATCGATTTTTCGTTTTTGATATCGTTGGAAAGCTCTTTTCATGGTGCGTTTAATGGTACTGCTCAAACGTGTGTACACTCAAAAATGAAAATATTATATATAATATAAAAATTCAAAAACGGATTTTTTACATCAGGGATAGCAAAACACGCAGGAAGAAAGCCGCATCCTTAAATTCGGCAGATACGGCATTTATACAAAATTTCAAACAAAGAATGTGGAACTGATAAGTCAGGAAGAAAGCCGTATCTTGTAGATACGGCTTTTATTTGATGGTGGCCTGTGAAATATGAGCCGAATCGTTGGTCCAGGCAGTTTGGAAGAAAGCCGTATCTACTCATTTAGCATGGCTTCGGCATATCCTGGACGGAACAGTTGAACATTTACACAAACATGCTACGTGATCGTAGCAATATGTGACCATTATAGGGGAATTTTAATTGAAATAAAATAGGGAGTGAACTTGAGAAGTTTGAAGCCAACAGAACTTTGCCAGCTCGGTGGTGTCAGCAGTAGGGCGGGTCGATGGAAAAGGTTTCCAAGTGAAGAGCGATTTTCCTACGGGCTGATCCATAAAACGGTTAAAACATATTTTTTGCGAATTTTTGAAAAGGAACTGGGCGCGCCGTCAACGGTTTTTCGAGACCACTTTTGCTAATTTTTCTCGTTGTTTGCAAAATGTAGTGGGAAAAATTCGAGAAAGGTACTATATTTACCACTTTCCTAGTTCTACATGCTTACCCCCACCTCTTCACAAAGTTTGGAAACCCCAGTGGCAGAATCGTGCTCAGAATAGCGATTAGCATCGGCGCTCTGAGCGCAACGAAACCAGCGCCATCTATTGAGCGAGTTTGGCATAACATTGATTTTGACGGCTTTCCGACCGTTAAAAGCTGACGCAGCCGCTGCCACGTCGGGTATATGGTGTTCTTTGGTGTTCCTAGGTGTCTGGTGTTCCTTATTTGACACTAGGTGAGTTGTACCCATTCGATCCGAAATACTTCAGGAATCATAAATTGCTCCGGAAGCTATACCTATAGTGATTTCGCCAAGAAAACAGCGAGATGCTTAACTTTGATACCTATATGTGTATCAGTTAAATTAAGTTTTGCAGACAGATAACATCAGTCCAAACCGTATGTTCATTTTTGAATGCAATGTAGCCAGCCACCTAACCGTCCTAGGACAGAAAATCACACTTCGATAATTGATTCAAACGCCGGCATGAGAGCGTTGCATTGCGTCCTGATGGCACACGTGATGTAACCGAGACGTGCTCTCTTAATAACAGCAACGTATGCTGCCTAAGTTAGGAACCGAACGGCTCGCTCCACTGCCTGAGTAGTGAGTATGGGTATGCACCGGATCGAAATTAATTTGTTAAGCAGCGGGTCGAAGGTCACCCTCTTCCAGCGAGATTGCTATTGGTGACTCTGTAACGCGTTCTTTGGACCGATCTATGAGCTGCATGTAGTGCATGACTTGTTTATTGCAAAATGCTGATAGAATCGCATATCTTTATGTCTCCTGCCTCATTCGCTTCCTATACTTTTTTGCCATAAGTGTCTCGAGTCTTTTTATCACCATTCCTTAGTTCAGCAAGCATCGCAGTGTATCATGTATGCACTGTTTGCTGGCTGTCTGTATCGGCCAGTACAGCCCAAACAAGTTTCCTATAGTGAGCCCGGTACTTATTCCTGTCGATCACTGGGCGAAAAACACAGACCGGTGAGCTGAGAGGTCTCGCAATAGCTGGATGCTTTGGAGTAATCCGTCTCCGCAATGTTTACTCCGTAATTTCGGACCACATTGGGACATAGTGAACAACATTGAACTCGGTGATAGTTCGAAGCTGGTCAATATATGTTGTATGATGGGCGATCGCGACGGAATACGTAACTTGCAAGCTGCCAACGTAAGCCATTTTACCAAATTCAAGGGCTCAATCTTCCTTACTGACAGCTACATCAGGATTTGTCAAGAGCGTGACGCCTGCTTCCGGGCTGTTCAGAAGTGTTCTCTGATCTGGACTGCATGGCGTTGCCCGAAACGGCACGAACGGTTCCTGCTCGATGCACAGGCACTCTTGGTAAATGGTCCACTGATCGGCGCAGCTTTAGTCCAGTGGCTTTTCCACAAGTCTTGTAAACTTGTTTAATAGTTTGGCCCTTGTCTGATTTTGGTGTAAAATAGAATAAGTATTGACTACCGGACTTATTTACTGAAGCAATATGCTCGTCCAACAGGCTCGTCATAGCCGATGATCCAGCACGGCTATCCTATTTATCATGATAAACGACGCATCCTTATGCACGTAAAATGCAGAAGGGCATTTCCTTTGTAATCACTTGCCTATCCGAGAACAGAATGTGAAGTGTCACCGAGGACCACCACGCGCCATTAGTTCCGTTTCGACATGGAGGCTCCTTTCCACTAACTGCAACAATGTCACATGATTGGGATCACAAATTGCGTCGGAGACCACTTAGCAGCTACTACCGCGGTTATTATGAGGTCAGTTTCCCTCAAAGCTCGATGCTCCACTGCTTGTTGCGGTGGCCCAGCCCCAATAGGTAATCAAAATAGGATCTGATGTTCCGATGAGAACGCGCGACTCGGGCAGTGATATGATACGCGGATCGCCGATCAGCAGGATACCTCGCAACTCATCCTCAGTCTGTTGTCAGATGAAGCCGGGCTAAGTTGACGAGGCTAACTTAGTACTTAGTTATTCTGCAATTGAGCTGCTACTGTTCAGTTCCAACACTAGGTTTGCATTTCAAAAGAAAGGTTAAATTTACATGCAAGGAAATAATCGAAGCCAAAACTGAAAATAATGCTGCAGAAGTCTCAGCGCAGAATCAAATGACTAATAGGTCCAGCGGACACTATCGCACTTGGCGCATAATGGCTGTGCTTAAGTCAGGTGAACCCCCAATATGTACATTTCATGGCTACTTTAATTGCAATTGACAGCTTTCACGCTATATACGCTCCTGTGCCTTACGTTTTTTTCATCAGCGTCCTAAGATCGCATCAGCAGAATGCATATTGTCTCGGCCGACGCAAGGTTAACAGTCCTCTCAAGAGATGGCGCTGCGATCGAGTTGCGGAAAACCGATACAGAGAGCATGGCACCATGGCCACAGTTAAAGAGATACAGCCAACAGACTTGCAGAATAGGTTGAGGAATAGCTGAAGTTTCGAGGTATATATTTGAAAATAATTAATCATATGACATTTGTGCTCAAAATTCGCGTGCAGTGAAAATGTAGCGAAAAACCCGGTTGATTAATTGGCTGCGGCGACCCGCAACCTCAACCAAAAAAATTGAAAAAATTCACACAGTCTTCTTGTGACATGCTCCGTAGGAATTTCGGTCTTCATTATGTGTCCTCGAAAAAAAAGTTCTCGGATGACCCGCCCTAGTCAGCAGGGTGCCGGGCATTCAGTATTTTGATGTGCTAACCAGCCGGGAGCGCCAGTATAATCCGACCGTTCTTTTCCCAACTTCGTTTAAAATTCCAATAAAAAATACCCGACCTAGCCTCCCCCATGATTAATTTGGCCTCCCTGTTCCCACCCTACCCCACAACCAAAATAGCATCATGTTAAGTTCGACCCGGTAATCATCATAGACAATAGACATGCAGCTCGTACTCGTAGCTGGCACGCTTAGTACGACGACCTACAATCTTTGTCGTAAAACCGTTGAAGATATAGTTGAATACCGTGAAAGGTCGATTGCTATTGCCAACCTCGTCACATTCATTGTGATAATTGTGACCACGCCCATGTATCTTTGGGACCGTCATCCCCTGTCACTTCCATTCCTGGTCAATGACTACCGTCTTCTTTCTGGCTCCCTCATACCCATGATGCTCAATCATATTGGAAATTTAGGCTACCTTGTAGCACCCACACAAGCCCAACATCTGCCCAGAGCCTACCAGCACAGCTGTGGCCGGTGGAGGATGCAGCAAGGCGTACTGAATAGCCCTCTGCTCTGTTGCAGTAGGCGCTATAATCAGAGCCCTGTGAATACGAGTGCACATTGGGGGGCCTTTTGAGGGTGCGCCCTCTAAAGGGCGTTCCCGCAGACGTGTGGAGCTCTCAGCAGTCTAGCGATCTCCCGGGAACCTTGCGTCCAGCTTATCAGCAACATTCCCACTCATCGTCTCTTGCCCCCTTGAAGTGCTTTTAGGTCTGCAGATCGACGATGGGAAACTACACTATCTCGGTTCTCTCGACATTGTCGCCGTGGCTCCGGCGCAGCGGCAGACCGGCACACTCATCTCTCCGAATATATCGGTGGCTCAGAATTAACTCTGGAGTCCAGTGTAATCGAAAATTGAAGCACCGTACAAAGACAGCATTCGTGATTCCCCTTGTCGGTTGCAGGCACGTAGCCAGGATTTTGCTCAGGGAGGGGCCACAGGTCGCGACCTAGTGTCGTGCCCCTCCAGAAAAAGAAAACTCCTCGGATTTGGCCCACTATCTTTTGGGGTGTGGTGCAGCTGGGGTTATTTTTTTAAGTTTTATTTTATTTTTCGCCTTTAGAGGGGGGCATGGCCCCTGTGCCCCCCCCCCCTTGGCTACGTCCCTGGTCGGTTGGTCAAGATGTCTTTTGATGGCACCCTGCGCAATCAGAATCCAAGAGCCTAAAGTTACGACAATAATGCAATTATGCATGGATGATGTAGTTTAAAATGGGTATCATGTTTGTTTTTGTATTGAACGTTCAATTAAATATCCATACTTGAGAGCTGAAGCAGTGGGACGGAACATGCAGCGGAACTGCTTTAGTACTTTTATGAACCAATATGCAGTGTCAATACCATGCACCGGTGATACTGCTTTTTGACGACAATATGATTGAACAAAAATGGCGATACGGCTTTATTCCCGATCGGTTAACCAATGTATCAGACATACGGCTTTTTCATGACAGTATTGTTCAGGTGTCTCGTACGATGCGGCTTTCTTCCACGATACGGCTTTTTTCGTGAAAGAAAGATTCCGCAAACTCGGGGTTGAATTTGAAGCAAAAAAGTTTTTCGCCTTTTGCTTTAAGGTTAAAATAATTTCCCTTTTATAACCACTTTCATTGGATGTAAAATTTCTTTCCGATCACTGCAGTATGTTTTGTTTCGTTATTGAGCAAAGTTAACGAATTTTATAACAAAAAACGCGTTTTTCCCTCTCCTGAACAATTTTCGATTCGAAAAAGTGCCCCAGATACGGCTTTTTTCCTCCCGACGGCAGCTTTATGCAACGGCAGACGTGTCTTGATGGCCCCTCACGACACATGCACACTGCCTCCCTTATGTCATGGTATGATGTGATGTTTTGTAGGCTTGAAGCACTCGTTTTATGGAGGTCATGGTGAAAGTGTTCCGGCTAAACATAGTAGCTGATATTCTTCTTGCATATTTTCTCTAAGCGATTTATTGAATCAGTTGATAGGTATGCTCCGGAGGGGGTATTACAGTCGATAACTAGGTGACAAAGTTTCATCGAAAGATCATAAGATTGTCCTATCCTGATGACACCTACAATGGCAAGGGTGGCCGCTGCCCGCCGCCTGGTCACGCCCCCACGTCCGCTTTAGGGGTCACTGACGGGCACTCGATGCCCCGCCGCTCACCCCTGGGAAGGTCTGAGACGAGGCACGCCCGCCAGGGTGGCGGGATGCCCTAGCAGGGCACCGTCCTAGCCGGGACGGGTGGATGAACAGAAAAGGCCCTGGCCGGCGGGCGCCTAGGACGCGCTGGGGCGCCCTCTCAGTGGCGCCGGGCGCCGAGGCGATGCCCGCCGGCTCTGGTTGGAAGCGTCTGCGTGCGGCCGCTGCGAGTGCGATGAGCGGGGCGCCGGTCGGCGTAACTCAATTCAGACTACCCTGGGGGCGTGGCGTGGGCGGCGGGCGGACGGCGGGACCCCGTGTGCCGCGACTATGAGAGCTGACTGGCGTGTGACGGCGCCCATCCGGGCCGCACCGCCGCAGTGTTTGACGACTGGTCTGTCCGTCAGGCTGAATGCGGCCCCTGGATGATATCGCGGCGCCCTCGGACCAGGACGGCAGGGGAGCGCTTGAGGTGAGATATTACTGATGTTTCTGATTCGTGGATGTAAGACTGATTTTTGTGTATTGGCATCTTTAAGTGGTATTTTTGGAACTATTTTCCTACGAACACCATCCTGCGAAGTCCTTTGCAACTCTAAAGCTCGGAGGTCTTCATCTCTCAGAGACTTGTTTCACTAAACGCGATTATTCCATGCTACGATGTATTGGCGCTAATTTTTCATTTAAACGAATTAAACAAAACTACGAACTAAATTAGTCATCACTTACTTTTTCGCTCAAACCAAAGAGCCAATCAGGCAGCAGCCTGCCATGAAACAGGGCCATGCTGTCTATCAAACGTTTTAAGGGTAATGCAGCCCTTATTCAATAGCTCTGTCGTTTTTTTTTTGCGAAATCATGAAGATCGCACGATAGGTATTTGTGTTATTGAATAATTGGAATCGAAGGGAGCGTTATCAAATGGCCTTAGAAAGATTATATCCCGCCAAAAGAATTGTTATTGTATGCGAAACAAACCGTGCTCAATTGCTGCAAAGCAGATCGCATTCAGACAAACCCATCATTTTTAGTACGGTCTGGCGTGAGCAGATGGGCTTGGAAGGTAACTTGTTTATCCGGGTTAAAAAGTGCCCTAAAACCCCAATAAACAAATAATCGGTTGATCTTTATGCAACGGCAGACGTGTTTTGATGGCCCCTCACGACATATGCACACTGCCTCCCTTATCTCATGGTATGATGTGATGTTTTGTAGGCTTGAAGCACTCGTTTTATGGAGGTCATGGTGAAAGTGTTCCGGGTAAACATAGTAGCTGATATTTTTCTTGCATATTTTCTCTAAGCGATTTAATGAATCAGTTGATAGGTATGCTCCGGAGGGGGTATTACAGTCGATAACTAGGTGACAAAGTTTCATCGAAAGATCATACGATTGTCCTATCCTGATGACACCTACAATGGCAAGGGTGGCCGCTGCCCGCCGCCTGGTCACGCCCCCACGTCCGCTTTAGGGGTCACTGACGGGCACTCGATGCCCCGCCGCTCACCCCTGGGAAGGTCTGAGACGAGGCACGCCCGCCAGGGTGGCGGGATGCCCTAGCAGGGCACCGTCCTAGTCGGGACGGGTGGATGAACAGAAAAGGGCCCTGGCCGGCGGGCGCCTAGGACGCGCTGGGGCGCCCTCTCAGTGGCGCCGGGCGCCGAGGCGATGCCCGCCGGCTCTGGTTGGAAGCGTCTGCGTGCGGCCGCTGCGAGTGCGATGAGCGGGGCGTCGGTCGGCGTAACTCAATTCAGACTACCCTGGGGGCGTGGCGTGGGCGGCGGGCGGACGGCGGGACCCCGTGTGCCGCGATTATGAGAGCTGACTGGCGTGTGACGGCGCCCATCCCGGCCTCACCGCCGCAGTGTTTGACGGGTGGACTGTCCGCCAGGTGCCGCTCTGCAGTACCTGGATTGAAGCATGCGTCCTGGCGGCGGCCGATCGGCACAGAGGTCGGGTAAGGTAACTGAATTCACCAACTGTATCAGAGCGTGGAGAGAAGTGGCAGTCGTCAGCTTCGATTCAGTCTAACAATTTTTTTTTTTTAAATATGTCAACAGTATTGAAGTTGCTGTTTTTGCTTCAGTAAGTGTAGATTAACTTTCCCATGGCTTTATCTTGTAGAAGTGACCATATGTAGCGGGAAAATATGTGGATTTACTACGATATAAAACTGTCAACAGTGTGTATTTTCAGAAAATAAACACCCAATCGATCGAATATGTGTGTGTGGTGGCTGACCAGAGACGAGATGTGGGGTTTTTGGTTCGCGAAGGAATGCGGAAAGGAGTGCCGTCACCCCGGACTAGCGGGGGCGAGGGTTGGTAACCTTAGTGCTTCATGGCCTTGTGAATAATAAGGCGCCGCAGGCGACGTCGGGCAGCCGATGCGCATCGCACTGTCATGGGCCAGAAACTTCAACGAAAGGAACCGAACATATATTTATCGACACTGTACATATAAATATGCTACGATTGACACACTGGAGAGGGGGGAGCGGTGAACGGGAAACACTAGGACGATTATGTGTATTAGCGGGCGCAGTAGCTACGCTCCGGTCGGTCGCGGCGCTGCGGGTGAACGCCGGCCGCCTCACTGGTACTGCTGCTGCTCGGCGGCCTCGCGCTGGGCCCGCTCGGCCTCGGCGATCGCCCGCAGCCGGGCGTGCTCCTGGCCGATGCGCGCCTGCTCGGCCACGATCTGTGCCGAGCGGGTGAAGAAGTTCTCACGCGCGGCCGCCACCGCAGCCGACTCCTGTGGACCGGGAGGACAGACGACCGTTTTAATGGGGCGTTCGCGTGCGGGGGCGGGGGGGGGGGGCATGGCGAAATCCGCTTGAGGGGCGTATTTTTCGCGCAATAGAGGGGACACGGTTCGTCGGAAGATCATCTCAGGCTCAAAAGAAACGGTATATACCATTCGAAAGCTGACGGTGAGCTGAATCCAAAAATGTATTTTTTATAAAAATCGATCGATGGCCTTTTTTGAAAATTGCGTTTTTGTAAAAACTTAATAATCTTTTATTCAACGGGCTGTCCCGGACATTCTTGAAAACATAAACATATATTTTTGAGTTCCATTGAAAGCTGAACGCCAAAAGAACAATATTTAGCGAAGCAATATTTCCAAATGTTAATATGCGTCTCCCACAGCCGAAAATAAGGCGCAATCACACAGCTCAGTGTCACGATGGACCAAAGTCAGTCACACAGAAGCGTGAAATGACCCTTATCGACTCGCAGACCCGGCGCTCTCGGCCCGTCTGACCGGTCCCGGAAAGAACGTTCGGCTCTCGTTCTACTAAACAAATGTCATATTTGTCAGTTTAACTGTCCACATCGCTATTAAAGTTATTCAGGATACCTGTGAAGAAAATTCATTGTTCTGCTCGATTTACAACATGCTTTAATTTACATTTTTCTTATGCATGTTTTGTTCCATCCAGCTGCGATCAGTGCCCGCCCAGGGGAAGTGAGCGGGGTTTCACTGTCAGAGGCTGTACTGGTGACAGCTGCTCGGCCGTGCGACCGGTCAAAGGTTACCCTGCCCCGCCGGGCGCTACCCCCACTCCACCCGAGCTGAGGCCGGTGCAGCCTCTGACATTTTAGCGCGGCCAATTTTCCTTATATGGGCATGATACCAAGCTCAATTGAGCGAAGTAGACATGAACAAATGCAAATTAATGCATGATGTGAGGATGACAGAACAATGAATTTTCTTCACAGGTATCCTGAATAACTTTAATAGCGATGTGGACAGTTAAACTGACAAATATGACATTTGTTTAGTAGAACGAGAGCCGAACGTTCTTTCCGTGGCCGGTCAGGCGGGCCTAGAGCGCCGGGTCTGCGAGTCGATAAGGGTCATTTCACGCTTCTGTGTGGCTGACTGGTCCATCGTGACACTGAGCTGTGTGATTGCGCCTTATTTTCGGCTGTGGGAGACGCATATTAATGTTTGGAAATGTTGCTTGGCTAAATATTGTTCTTTTGGCATTCAGCTTTCACTGGAACTCAAAAATATATGTTAATGTTTTCAAGAATGTCCAGGACAGCCCGTTGAATAAAAGATTATTAAGTTTTTACAAAAACGCAATTTGCAAAAAAGGCCATCGATCGATTTTGATAAAAATTACATTTTTGGATTCAGCTCACCGTCAGCTTTCGAATGGTATATATCGTTTCTTTTGAGCCTGAGATGACCTTCCGACGAACCGTGGGGATGGTGGACTTCCATGTAACGGTAAACACTGGATTAACAAGTCTCTTGTTTGTGAACGAATTCCTTCCACACGTATTCCCTATGCTCGTAAGTTGGTCATTTTAATGAATCATATTCGTAGCTTGACCGGTTTTGCAAGCTTCGCTACGGCGCATGTGGTGCTATGGATTAATTGGAAAGGAGCGCCGTCGCATTGTGTCGGCGACTTGGCCGGATTGTGGGGTTTATGTCTCTAACCAGGGTTTGTGATACGCCCACACAAGACGCCTGTATCCGGCTCAGTGTCAGCGGGGATGGGGCCGTCATGGCGCAGCTGTCCGCCGGGATGGACGGACGGCCGGCCGGTACCGTCCGGGGGCCGGATTAGACACTGCGTGCGTTACCGGTCGGTCGCCCTCCTGGACACTCCAGCGAGTGGTAAAAGTGGGCATGTCGCAAAACCTCCGAGGTGTCTCAGCTCGGCCATTGTCTGTGTAGCGACACCGGCGGGGTCGTGGGCCGCGTCCGGCTTTTTACGGTCCCGAGTGGCCGGAGAAGGTTCGTGAGCGGCTCTGGCGACGCTGACCTCCGACGGCCGTCAAGGTCAGGATAAGCCGAGGATCCCGCTCTCCCTCTCTCCCTCGCTCTCCCTTTGAGGCTCGGCCGAGCGGCGGCGGACTCACCCTGGGCGCCTGCGGCACCGGTCCCTGCACGTTGGGATGGAAGCCGTTCTGGTCGGCCGTGTAGTCGACCTTGACGACGCGCTTCAGCGGGTCCAGGTACTCGTATGTGCCGACCACCACGCCGTCCGTGCCGCGGCTCTCGCTGGGGAAGTGGACGGGCGCGTCAGTACGGGCCAGTTTGAGATAAAAATGGTGTCATACGGGCATCGTAATGGACTGACAATCTCAAGTCGCATGGCTAACTGATCTACCCCACCGGTGACCACAGCTACTTCGGTATGCTCCTTGCTGGAGCGGCTGTTCCCAGTTCCATTGTACTGTGATACGGGACCGCGGTTCGCGGGACCGTGTGCGTTCCAGTGGCGGGCGGCGCCAACTGACCTGTGGGTGCGGTCCACGTGGTTGGGGTAGCGGCCGGCCTGGTAGGTGAACTGGTACGGCTGCGGCGGTCCCACCGGCTCCTCGTAAGGCTGCGGGTGCTCGTGATGCGCCTCGTGGCTGTGCTCCAGGCCGTCCAGCAGCTCGGGCCGCGCCACCGCCGCGCCCACCACACACTGAAACACGCAGAGCATGATGTCATACGGAAGTCACCTGAGCCGCATCAGTCGGTGGGTGGTTAATTTCATACATGGGGTCCAGTAGCGGCGGAACACCTTCAATTAAGGGGAGGGAGCACTGCCGACTTTTGGTCCCATTCTTTCCATGCAACGCCCATAGGGCTAATGTTAAAATGCCAAAATCAAAGGGGGCACGGTGCCCCGGTGCCCTCCCCGTTCCGCCGCCTATGATGGGGTCGTGCTGTCGACACAGCCTGTCATTGGTATGCCTTCTACCTGCCATTCGGCTAAGTGGTGCTGATTTATAATACGACGTAGTAAACTGGTCGGCTACAGCCTTTAGTCATCACTCATCTGTCTTTGAATTCGGTATCCTGTTTCGTGATTAGGTGACGTCACCAATAAGCCCGGTATCCTGTGCACATCTCATTATTGATGGCTCGATCGCTGTTGGATGACGTGAAGGTACGCTGTCCGTATTCCACGCCGTTTCGAGGAGTTCTGCGGTCAGCGAGCTGACTTCGACAGAACAGCGAAGTTGATTGCCTACTAGGCGCGTCGGTGGTGCCGTGCCGATAGGGTCGCCGTCTTTTCCAGGTGAAAGTAAGCATTGCATCCCTAGCTCCGCCCCGCTTTGGCCTGCATCTTGGGGGCCGCTGTGCCAATGCTTCGTTATATAGGTGTCATTGATCCTGGCTACCTGATGATCGAGATAGCTGTCCACTTGGCAGGTGGTAGCTATCAGCTAGGTCTGGTTCGTTGGATAGTTAACTAAGTTATTTTTAGGCGATTCTCTTACCATGTTGACAATCTGTTACGAACGCGGAAAGTTATACGGAATGTTACATGCGCCAGCGATGCAGTTTATTTCCGGATGATGAATGCTGGTGTTTCTCGTATGTCTGCTGCACTTAGTTAAATCCCTGCAGTAGGGTGAATAGGTCAAAAACGCCCCCCTTAAGCGCGAAACCTTCTGACACTCAACTCAACACAGATTACTTAAACCTTTGGGCACCATCATGTAGCTCATTCTTTTTACTACGCTTTGAGACCAAGAAAAGACACCTACGTGTGGTATTTAACCCCCCAAAAAGGTTTTCGCATACCCTTACAAAAGGGCGTTTTGCCCCATACCCTGGGTAATACGCCCACACCCATGTGCATTGTGCAAAGCGCCCCCACCCCATCTATCAACAGAAAATGATGAACATGGCAGAACTTGACGTCATTCTGACGTCATTTGCGGTCAACCTATCATAGTCTTTGGAATAAAATTTTGTTGCAATGTGTAAAATGGATGCCCGGAGGAGTCCTGAAAGTTTGGTGACGATATCTGCAGTCGTTTAGGATATATCAGCAAAAAAAGGACAGGTAGAGGCCTTTTCGGCCCCGACCTACAGGGCGCTACCCTGCACTCTCGTCTCTCACCACCGTGCAAAACGCCCCCCTTTCAGAAAACTGGGGGCGTCTTGCCCCATGCATCGAGTAGGCGTCTTTCCCCATCCACTCCATTTCCGGTCAACAAAATATTGGCAAAAAGTGCGCCACTAACGCCGCAGCATAATACATTCAACAGAATGACAATAAAACGCAGTTTTGAGTGATGTGCACAATAGCAAGTTTTGTGGTATACAGAGGGCATCAAAATATTAGGAATCTTCTGTAAAAACAACAAAAACAATACCCAAAACCAACATCATCACCTACCCACGCTGCTCCTCAAGACGCAGAACCGGAAATAGAGACCTACGTAAACAAGCAGCTGACTGTTCTGAAAAATAGGATAAAACACCTATCCGTCGATAAGAAATACGATTTTTTTAGGGGAGGCGTTTAACCCAGGGGTGCGTTTTCCCCACAGTTACCCTATGCACGGCACCGGTAAACAGATTCCTGTGTTCGTATGATGGTTCGCAGTGAACGGAGTACGACAAGCGGTATTTGCGAGATGTCTTCGGTATGCAGGCAAAATCGTCTGACTGTACAGGACCGGCTAATCCTTGATATGAAGGTAGAAAGAGTACGGCTGCTCGGCGGCGCTGGCTGGGCCGTCTACATTATGCATTACGTCACGAACCTCGCGGCGCTCGTGAGTCGTGACGCACGGCACCACGCCTGTGTCATACCGTCCCGTGGTGATCATAGCCGGCCCCTGCAGAGGTGACGCGCGCGGCGGCCCTTGCAGAGGCGAGACTGGTCGGATGGCGAGCCACTCCCCCATGGGTTGACGGCGCTCGCGGACCGGCCGGCCATGACCGAGACAATGGACAGAGGGTGGACTGGACAAATGTTACTGGAAGGACGAAATATGGACAGAGCATACGGACGTTGGAATGGAACATAATGGACTGTGAACATTGGACTGAAACGATGGGTGTTGGGATGGGACATTAGATATATGGGTAGTGGGCAGGAGACCGACCGAACGGGTGGTAGATTGGGGGGGGGGGGGCGAGTGTGGTCTCCACACTCCGGTGTGCAGTAGACTGGACAGACAACTGCATGGACGGGCGGACATGACACTGCCCGGACGGACTGGCGAGCGGTGGGCGGTAAACTGGATGAACAGATTGACTATGAGTCATTGAGTACTGGCGGAGAATGGCATTCGCAATGTGACAGTCATAGTCATCCACTCACGTTAGGTGGTGCCGACCCGTTGGGTTAATTCGAGCCTTCTTAGTTGATGCTCCTCAGTCCTCTCCGCTTGCTGCGGATTAAACATTTTAAAGTGGCATTGCATACCAAAATAACGAGCGACTCGGCATTTGGGTTTTTCATTGAGGTCCGCAGTTGGCCTGTAGTTGTCTGAAGAATCGTTTGTCAGCCGTCCGTTTGCCCTTGCCGTTCCGCTCCTGGCGTTTGGCCGTGGGAAGAGGTCGGCCGCGGGTGACCGGGTCACGGTTGATAGGGGGTCGGCCGGGTCACGTTCGGTGGAAGGGCTGCCCGCTCAGGGCCATGCAATAGAGGCCATGCTCGGTGGCACGTTCTCCGCCCGGCTCCATCCCGACCCCGTGGGACAAAGTGTGCTGCTCGGGTCTGTTCCCGGGTGGGGTGGGAAAACGGTCAGGACACGAGTCCGGACTGCGGCGATGAACAGATGCGAACTGGTGAATCTCGTATGCTTGCTTGATTGGTGCGAGCAAGAACGACGACAGTCTTCCGTGTGCGCAGAGCGGCAGAATGGACCAGACTGCCTTTCCCGGGCCCGTCGATCGTTCACGAGGTCACCGGTATGCTCGTTATAACCTTGGGTAGGACCGGTCTTCGATGCCCCAGTTGATAAGGCCTAATTACGGACTACGGTGGGGACTGGAGAGCACGGACTCTGGATGACTCATGCATGATATGACAATGCTGTAGAAGTCATTTCTGCATATTTTGGTCGACTGTAATTGGCTATATGTGGGATAGCTGACGAACGATTTAAGCACACGAACATATGTCACAGTTGCGCGACGTTCAGAGCTAGACCCACTAGTAAGCAACTAAACACCTTTCACTTTTGTTATCAACGATGCTACTCTGAGGTCAGAGTCGGACAAAGCACAGCCCCGAGGCGTCACTGGCGGTACGTGAGACTGTTGACTCTCGCAGGACCCGTCTCCCCGATGAGTACTTACCAGCAGGATGAACACCTTCATGTCGCGTCACTGGCTGTTCTCGGGAGAGACTGGCTGGCCTCCGGTGGCGCCGTCACCCTCAAGTACGGCCCGAGTGACGTCGGCGCCGACCGGCGATTGGCTGATGACCTGGTCACGTGACCGGTACGGCCAGCCGAGCGACGGTGCACCGTCGCTCGGCCCACCCACCGCGGTGGGGCACCCGCACCCGCAGACCGAGTGACGTCACCTCTCTACTCAGCCGGATGACGTCACTGTCTGACACTACAGACGGGGACGGATGACGTCACTGCTTTATGCTACAGACGGGGCAAGTGATGTCACTGTAATACTGATGTCACTGTAATACACTACATACGGGAAAGGATGACGTCATGGCCTCACTCACGCTGCAGACTGGGACGGATGACCTTACTGTAGTACACTACAGACGGAGCAGGTGGCGTCACTGCTTTATACTACAGACGGGACAGGTGACATCACTGTAATACACTAAATGCGGGGAAGGGTGACGTCGTGGCCTCACTCACAGTACAGATGGGGGCAGGTGACGTCATTGTTCTAATCCAGCACTACAGACGGAGTAGCTGACACTACTGCTCTAGCATAGACGGGGATGCTTATGTAACTGTAAGTTACACTACAAACGACCCAAGAAAGTCCCAACTGATCGGATGGGTCCCTTCTCCACCGCGCTCTACAGACGAACCGGATGACCTGCATTACAACTCATACAGGCGACACCACTGGTTCTCAGGCGACTTCCACGAGGAGGCTCGCTCCCGGAGGGTAGCCCAGAATAGTTCCTCCTCGTATTCGGGTCTATCGTGATTCGAGACTCTATGCTGTGGTGCCGATAGAAGGGAGCCGATACAGCTATTTGATCGTAAATCCAGTCAGGTCGCAACCGCAGCTGTCGTGTGGGGAAAACACAGGCCGCTCTCCACTTGTACAACAGACGTGCTTCAGGAAAATGATTTATTTTGGCACTTCATCGAAGCCACTTAAAACGGATATATCACTATGATAAAAAGAAAGACTCCAGGCCATTCCATCGTCCATCCCATCGGTCCATCCGGATCGTCAGCCCATTTCTCGGTGTACATTCATTGCTGCTTGAATCGCGCACAAAACAGCAGCAGAAAACGTCCCGCAGTCACACAGGCACCCGCCCCACCCGGAGCTCCGGAAAAGTCGCCAGAGTCCGGACCGAGCCGACGCAGCGGCTCCGGGAGCCGCCCGGCGCCTTCCGAAAGCCGGTGACGTCACCCCGGCATCTCCGCCGGTGACGTCAGAGGCCGACCGGTTCGTATAGACAGCCGGGTGACTCCAGCCGGCCTAAGCCGGTGACTTATGCTCCAGCTGAGGCCAGAGCCGTACCCATCCCAGAGCGGAGTCGAGATTAACGCATAAAAAGGCGGATGATTTCTACTACCGCACAACTGCTGAAATAAAGCATCCCCATAAAATACTTTGAGATAAACTGCTTATAGTTCGTTATTGACATCTCTACGCGGTGAGTAGAAGCAGCCGCCCAAGCCTCAATGCCGCAAATTCAACCAGTTACTGGCCTGCATGAAAGCTAAACCCACCACCATATTGCAAGCAAGGATTTGCAAGCATCACAAGGCAACGCTGGAAAGGCGAGGTCGAAGCCGTTCCTCAACGGTATATAAATAATTCATATTGCTCACAAAGCTGTCTAACATATAAAAGCAGTTGACTATGGTATTTTGTAATGGCTCAGCATTCTAAGGGTAAGTGACTAAGCTTTGCTACTGGAAGGTACCCCACGCCAGTAAGCAACAAATGGATAATAATGTGGAAAATAGCCGTATCACGACGGGTTATCTGGCAAATGCACCGAACTGAACCAAATCTCCTTTTCAACAAACATATAATGAACTTATTTCAGAAATCATAAATTTAATCGAAAATGGTATCTGATAATGTGAAAAATCAGGCACCTATATAAGCAATTGTGCAAACCAAACTAAAAACTTCTAAGAGACACGATGAACCAAATCTCCACCAAATATGCACAAAATATGTACCATATAGCCTTATATGTCTCAGGCATCTCTACCAAACTACTCAGCGTTAGTGCGAGGTGTTATAAAAGCTGTGACAACATTCACGGCCCGTCCGGGAGAGTCCCCGGTCCTCGGTCCGTGGTCCCAGAGGGAGCTCATCTGAACGTGGCGATCCGTAGCGGGCTGTCGGCGGCTGGCAGCACTGACTCGTCAATCTGCTCCAGCATCGTCTCTGTCGGACGGGTCGGGTAGCACGTCAAACACACGACATGAGGACGGTAGCCGGGATGTACGGACATTCCGTCAACCGCACATGTGGACGGGACTTTGCTGAAAATCAGACGAACAATATAACATTTGGCTTATTGCGTCCAAAAGGATAAATGATAAATATACATACTAACTGTACATAACAGCTCGTACTTGCTATGCAATATGGGATGATAACAAATCTATCGAAAGCATTCCCAATGAAGGCACGCATTATAGTAATATTCTGCGCATAAGTGTATGTGCAGTGCGGTCGCACGTACCATCGATAGTGAGGGTGACGCGCCGCTCCGGGTCCAGTTGCGCAGACAGGCCGCGGATGACGGCCTCCAGATCCTTCTCTTCCCAGTACATCAGCACCACCGTGGTGAGGGAGGCGCAGCTCATGACCAGACTGCACGGCCGACACGGCGCGCGTCAGACGTCGCACATACATACAACATCGACAGACGTTCGGGGGCATAGAGCTCCACAAAAACATACAGGAATCATGTGGCAAACAACGCTTGTACCTATGCGATAGTATTCATCAAATTTCATTTTATCTTAGGTTTCACGTCAAGTACGGCCTGACGGCGACACTGACCTTTGGAGCCCGTCCATCGTGAAGTCCACGCTCTGGTAGTACACCTCGACCCCCAGGGTCAGCTCGGAGAGCGACTCGGCGCCGGCCAGGCTGCACAGCACGGTGTCGGTGACGGACGACACGCCGCACAGGTTCAGCGACTTCAGCTGCCTCAGGCGCGGCAGGCTCTCCACCAGAGCGGCCTCCGTCAGATCATCACAGACTGAAACACAGTGGCAGTCGGGGGTATCAAAGTGGCCGTCCAATTCTACACAGCCGGAACACACACCAACATACTTTGACGGTAGCAATACTTGGGTCGGTAATTATAAAATACTCATACCCAATGCGCTTTAGATGTGTCAAAACAAATATTCAGAATCGAATAATACAATTTGGCGAACAGTCACTGTTCAAGGTAGACGCGGAAGACTATCGCGCATTATGTGTGGCACTCACAGGAGAGGTCCAGAGTCTGCAGCTGTTTGAGGCCGGGCAGCTCCTTGAGCAGCTGGTCGGTGGCGTCGGCGCAGTTGGCCTGGAGCCGGCGCAGGCTCGGACAGCCGGCCAGCAGGGCGGTCAGGTCGCCGTCCAGGTCCACCGAGGCCAGCGTCAGCACCAGCTCCGTGAGCCGCGGCCAGCGGTCGGCCGGCTGGCGCGGCCCGCACGGCACCTGGCACGCGTACAGCGACAGCCGCTCCAGGCCCGCCGGCAGCAGCGTCACCGTGGCCGCCGTCAGGTGCACGTGCTCCAGCCGCAGGTCACGCAGGTCGGGCAGCCGGCGCAGCACCAGCTCCGGCCAGAGCGGCTCGCAGCTCTCGGGCAGCTTCACGGAGGAGAGGCGCGGACAGTGCTGGCACAGCCGCTCCAGGGCGTCCTCGCTCAGCCGGAACGGAGACAGGTCCACCTCCTCCAGTCGCCGGCAGTGCTCGGCTGCGGCGGAGCCGGCGGTAATTCAGACTAGGCCCAGATCAACTGTGTGAGGTGACCTTCCAACAAGGTGACCTCCCAATAAGAAAAGTCGCCCGACCTCTTCTTTTTGGCTCGGAGAATTGCGGAGCGAAGAAGTCCATTGCCGGAGAAACAATCCTCCACACTTTATAGAATGTCAATGGTCATAGATTAAATCATCAAACTATTCTGGAAACCACTCTAGCAAAAAGCCCATTGAATTAGTAGGTAACGGTTTGTGAAGTGACTATATCAGCCATAGTACTGGAACTCACATACGATGTCGATATCGAGGTCGTATCCGGCGACGCGCAGAGCTCTGAGAGCCGGCAGCTGGGGCAGCAGGGTGCGCAGCAGAGTGTCCGTGCAGCGTTTTCCCTTCAGGTCGCCGGCCGTGAGACGCTGCCGCCGCTGCAGGCAGTCGCGGACGGCCGCTCGCCACCGGACACATACTGCCGTCCAAACGCAGCAGAGTTCACCGAAACAGCTGGCACAATGTCCAGACAAGCTGTACTAACACAGGAGATGAGTTTCACAAATTTTAGCAGAACATTTGCCACCATTATTTACAGGGAAGGAGCAGTTTGACTTTTTAACTGCCCCTTCTCAGGTTTTTGGCCCATATATAAATGCTGGCACACCTCAACTATAGCACCAATGTTACAGTAACACCAATGTTTTCAGCACAGCACTCAGCTGATTCACTGTATATGCTCTCTAGAGAGAAATACATTACCCTTAAGTCTAATCCAAAGATATAAATTGGGACCACAAAGGCTATTTGTCTAGTAGAGTAGGTACTTAAAAGTATGGATTGATGTCACCTGGAGCAAATAGTTGCCATGGTCAATGCAGTTCATTTTCTTTTTGGCCATACTACAGGTGTGTGAATGTCAGCTGGAAAGCTGTACAGTTGGGCAACCACAGAACCACTAGTTCACCAAGACATGTGCACACTAATCATAACACATTAAACACACCAACCAAATCTTGAGGTACCTTTGGCAAGTTGTAGCTGATCACAGAAGTTCAGGCATCCAACAATTTGACTTAAAACCTCTACAGGAAGTCTCTCCATGGTGCGCTTGAACTGCAGTAGTGAGCTGCAGCTTCAGTATGCTGCTGGCTGGACTGTGATTGTCAGTTTCTGTAATAGTTAAGCATTACACACACAATTGTCATGTATTCTTATTTATCCACTTTAAGGGTTCATATTTTTTTAAATAAGTGAAAGTGCACAAAAATAAGCAGGCAGCTATAATTAACAGTTCACATAATTTGTAAATTGAAGATGCCTTGGAATTTGTAAATAGATAGTTTTCTAATAAAAAATGCAAACAGTAGTAACACACTGCTCTTGTCTTGACTTATGAACGAAAAAATGTTTACACTGGTAGATCAAGCTGCTTTTGCTCAGAATCCTCATTCATCACTACCATACAAGAAATCAATGCCTATAAAAGCCTAGGACAAGAGGAAAGATAGGAAAGATAGGATAGGAACTGGAAGGTTCCTATCTTTCAGTTCAGTTCTGTTCTATCTGAATTGTCATGAGAACTGTTTCGAGAGGCATGCTTAAACATATATTCATTTAAAGCAACCATACTCTCATGATTTATGCAAACATTTCACAGAAAAAAGGGTTTTATAATTCCTAAGGATCTTTTGGCATTCAGCTAAGAAAGCACAAGCCAAAGCTCCTCACAGTCACTTCAGCATTATCAGGCCTGCTTTGTCACATTTTTTTGTAAATTACCATGATTATTGTATTGTATTGTATTGTATTACCTTCATGGACAATCCACGCGGGGCGTGGCGATTACAGTCCAGAGTCTGAGTCGGGCACAAACAAAAACATGCGGGGACAAGAAACACAGGCATACAGATTCAATCGCTGGACATTCGCTCTCTCTATATACAAACGGACGATTCAAGACAGCACACCGCACACGGATGTCGCACCTCCTTCCCCTGACACGGGTCATCGTCGGGCGGTCGCCATCGCCGGACAGACTGCAGCCTTGGCCGCACGGGCGAATGGGGCGGGGCGCTGTTCGATGACACCGGGAGGCAGACTGTTTAGTAGCGCCGCGGCCCGGTAGCCGAATCGTCGCTTGCCAGTCTCGAGCCGCGAGCGTGGGAGGTGGAAAAGGTGGTCCTGTCGAGTGGACCTCTCTCGCGCGTCACTGTTATTCGTGAAGATGGCAGCTAGTGCTTCGGGCTCGCCGTTGCTTATTATTTTCTGCGCAGTTACCATGGTTTTAACATCGGCCATAGCTTTCGGAGGCATCCATCCGAGTGAATCGCGGAGGCCAGAGACGTGATCGAATTTCCGGCGGCCGAATATGACCCGTGCTGCAAAGTTTAGAATTTTTTTAAGTCGGTCGAAGTTTTTCTGGGAGCCATTTCCATATACAGTGAGGCAGTACTGGACGCGCGAGATGACGAGTGCAGTCACGATCGTTTTGAGGATACCGTCTGGGAGGCAGTGTCGTGCGTGGGAGAGGCCGATCAGTATGCCCATGCAGCGACGGCTCAGCTCGGCCACGTGTGCTTCCCAGGTGAGTGCGCCGTCGAATACAACACCCAGGTTTCCCACCTGCGCGCACGGCAGGAGCTCAGCGTCACGGAAAGAGATTTTGAAGTGAGGCAGGTTACGTAGGTTTTGTCGGCTACCGAATACCATCAGTTGAGTTTTAGAAGCGTTGACTTTCAGGGCGTGTGCGCAGAACCATGCGTTAAGTGACTCTAGCGATGCCTCCATGCGCGAGATGAGACTCCTGATGTCGTTGCGTGGGCCGCTCACCAATATCTGGGTGTCGTCTGCGTACTGATAAGCGGTGGCGTCTCCGGCAAATAGTGAGAGGTCGTTGGAGAATATAGTGAAGAGGAGGGGACCCAAAGCCGAACCCTGGAAAACTCCTACGGTGTTTGGGAGCGGTCGAGAGGTTATCTTACGGCCGGTTTTGTCTTTCAGGGATACACTCTGCGTGTGTCCCTGAAGATAAGCGGAAAACCAGGAGGTCTCAATACCGTAGATTTGGAGCTTTTTGACAAGGAGTTCATGGTCAATGACGTCAAGACATTTGCTAAGGTCTATGAGGCATAGCATTGAGATCTCACCCCTATCGGTGGCGGCAAGGATGCTATCTGTGACTGACAGCAGTGCAGTCTCAGTGGAGTGTCGGGGGCGGAATCCGTGTTGGGTAGACGAAAGAAGGTGGTTATGGGTGAGATAGTGATAGAGCTGCTGATGGATTACACGCTCGATGATTTTCATGATTACGGGAACTAGGGAGATCGGTCTGAAATTGCTGGGGTCAGATGGGTTGCCCGACTTGAAGATCGGTTGAACGATAGAGTGTTTCCAGGGGTCAGGAATGTCGGAACGGGTGATTGAGACGTTAATGATGTGTAAAATGATGTCGCCAATAGTTTGGAAGCATACTTTTAACATGCGGATGCATATACCGTCAGTGCCACGCGCGGCAGAGTTTCGCATGCTGAACACTGTGAGTCCGAGTTCCCCGAGAGTGATGGCCCTCGGCCTAAAGCTGCATGCGCCGACACGGGGTAGACGTACATTTAGATCAGTATCGTTGTTTTGGGTACTCAGTTCGGTGGCAATGCGGGGCCCGACAGAGACGAAGAAGGAGTTCAGATCGTCGGGAGATAGATCGGGCTGAATATTTGGACCATCTTTCTTTCCAGCGATCACTGATTTGATGCTTTGCCAGACTTTGTTTACCCCACGCTCGCTGATCTCGTTTTGGAGGACGTGACGGCGGTCTCGGCGTAAGGCGGCACGGACCGAGCGGTTAAGAGCCTTATACTCGGGAGACTCGCGGCCTAGCCGACGTAACGCGGAGCGACGCCTGGACATAATGTCGCGGGTGGCGGCAGATACAGGGGGCGCTGTAGGATTTCTTATCAGCACATTTTTGAGGGGGGCATGGTCGTCGAAGACAGGTAGAAAGTTGTCTAAAAAGACCTGCCACTTGTCAGCAACAGACGTCGAGTTATAAACTTCCTGCCAATCGACACTCAGCAGCTCTTGGTTGATAGAGTGAACGTCCACTTGGTTAAGTGATCTAGATTGGATGACAGTTGGTTTTAGGCGCTGCTTAGGCACGTCGACGGTCACGTGGATGAGTTTGTGTGGGCTGAAATGGCAATGGACTACGCTATAAGAACGCACAAATTTTCGGTTTTGTACAATACACACGTCCAAGAGAGAACCGGTAGTGAATGTTGATGTTGTCACGAGTTGATCCAGGGAGTAGTCAGAGAGGAACTCGCTGATGTGTTGACGGGCGGGAGAGCTAGCGCTCTTTAACAAGTCACAATTCAGATCGCCGCATATAACAAACGGGACGTTGGGGTGGTCGATAAGGACACGCTGAAGCTGGGTTTCCAAGTCTGTAAAATCCGCACGCAGTGCGGTCGCGGAATAACGCGGCGGTCGGTACACCGAGCAGACAATTAGATTGCGATTTTTTGGTAATTTCAACAATGCCCACTGCGATTCCAGAAGACTGTCCGGGCACTGCGAGCTTGGTGGCTTCAGTGCTACAGGCGTAAGGTCCGCTTTGGTGATGATGGCGACGCCACCAAAGCCTCGGCCGTCAGGTCGGTCCACCCGGCTGATGGAGTAGCCAGGGATGACCAGGAGGCGATTGGGTGTGCTCGGTCGTAGCCAAGTTTCGGACAGGAGCATGACGTCGAGATCTTGGCGGTTAAGTTCGTCCGACAGCTCCAGCAGTTTGGGCTTGAGGCTCTGGACATTGAGGGCTCCGATTTGCAGTCCGGTGCCGGGACGATGAGCTGTGGGCGCGGTCGCGGTGCGGCCTCCGCCCCGCCCCCTCCGTCCACGCGCGCCGCGGCGCTGCGGCCGCCGGCCGCCGCCTCGGGCCGACCTAGGGGCGCCGGTAGCTGGTGCGGCGGGTTGACCGGCTGGAGCGGGTGCGGAGGCGAGGGCGGTGGGGAGCTGGGCGTGAGGCTCGGGCGATCCGCCGGTGGGCGGCGGTTGTGGACGGCGTCCGTCGCTGCGGGCCGGCTTGTGGCGCGGGGAGCCTCTGATGGGCGGGGCCTGGGCTGCCGGCGGCGCGCCGTGGGACGCGGGCAGCGCGAGCGGCCGCTCCCCACCCCCGCGGGCCGGCGGGGCTCTCAGCTGGAGGGGAGGGTGAGGCGACACGGCCGCCAGCTGGCGCCCGTGGGGCTCGGCGCGCGGCGCGGGACCGCGGGCCATCGTCCCCGAGGCTCGGGAAGATTTGAAAACCGGCAGCCGTTGGGTGGCCAGAGCTGGGGCCGAGTCACAAGTAGAGTTAGATGAATTCCGAGAAAAATTGCGTGGGAAAGCAGGTTTTCTTACGGTGAGGTGGTGCCTGAGATGGTGATCGGCAACTCGAAGCGTGGACCTGGGTGGCGGCGCTGGTGCCGGGCAGGCCACGACGGTCAGTACCCGCACTACGGCGAGCAGAACCAGGAGCCGGGCGATATCACGGTGCATGTTGAGGCGAAAGGGGTATTGGCCACGACGAGATCTTGAAGAGGTTGCAAACGACGTATCCATGTAGAAAGACTGTTCAAGTAGCACAAATCCACACTCACACTCACACTAACACACGGAGTAGGCAGAAGGGGGTAGGGGAGGAGTGAGCAGCGCTCGCGTCCGCTCGCGGCGGCGCGCTCAGCTGAACGATTATGATAGTATGGTTACTTTACTTGATTATATAGTATCTCTACAACTCAATTCTCAAACTTTGGCAAACCATGGAGTCTAAGTCTAGCTTCTGAGACATCCCTTCCTTGATAAATCAAAATAGCTACCTAACCTACAGCCTTGCCTACAGACACAGTGCTGAAGGTGCTAATTGTTGACAACCATGCAAATGAGATTCAATTTACATTTCACAATCCAATTGACATACCAATTACACCAATTATTACATACACACGTGCTCTCCCGCTGATAGCTGCGCGGTTTGTTATTGTTGTGTACGCGCGGTGTGTGTTGTGTTGTGTGCACTGAACGGTTGTGTGCTTTCTGCGTATATATCTTTCCCGAGCGAAAAAAAACAAACATTCGAGTTTTTTGGCGCTTTTGTTTCAATTGTGGTGGTTCTGTTCGAAGGCCCATGAAGGTGGTGTTTGCGCAAAATTTCCAACGGAAAATCACCGACTATTTAGTGTAGACAGCTACATATTAACTTTTTGAACAGGCCTCTCTCATTGTTTGTTTTATACATTTTATTATAGGCTGGCTGTTAATTCCATCTCAATCTGTCATCTTTGTCAGGCAAACGTGTCAAACGGTCGTTATTTCGGTATGAATTGAAATTCGCAACATCTTTTGTACTGTCTCTCCTCTCTCTCTCTCTCTCTCTCTCTCTCTCTCTCTCTCTCTCTCTCTCTCTCTCTCTCTCTCTCTCTCTCTCTCTCTCTCTCTCTCTCTCTCTCTCTCTCTCTCTCTCTCTCTCTCTCTCCTCTCCTCTCCTCTCCTCTCCTCTCCTCTCCTCTCTCTCTCTCTCTCTCTCTCTCTCTCTCTCTCTCTCTCTCTCTCTCTCTCTCTCTCTCTCTCTCTCTCTCTCTCTCTCTCTCTCTATCTATCTATCTATCTATCTATCTATCTATCTATCTATCTATCTATCTATCTATCTATCTATCTATCTATCTGAAACCTGCCACCTTTTGCAGACTGGCCGAGTCTTGATCGAGACTGCAAAGCGTGGCAAATGCATGATTGAGGTGTACCAATAATTTTCTGAATGCATGCCTGGCCTGTGCCTGAATGTTAGGTATCACTGCATGCCTGGCCTGCGCCTGGTCATCAGGAGCAGGCCTATGTTTGAGTGCGCCTATGTTTCTCATGTCAAATTGTTTCGGTTATAAACCTGCAAAAGCTAAACATGCGCTCATTGATCAATCAGCTTTCAGTGATGTAGGTACTAATGTGTGTTTTTGTGAATAGTATAATGCAAACAGAATCATTCAGAATAAATTTGGCTCTCAACAACAATGTCCATAACATTTCTTACTCCATTTCATTTCCAGTGCTCCAGCCTCCAGCCTTGTGGGTGTATGCATTCAAGATGCTTGAAAAGGTGAGCTGTTTGCATGTTTTATGCTCAACATTTCTCCATTCAACAGCAGCATAAGCACCATTTGAATGAAGTGTAGACTGTAGGGTATATATTGTGTTATTCGAAAAATAACAAACTTTGAAGCTTTATAGGGCAGTCCATCTCTAATACTCTAGTCAAAATTATCATACCAACTTCAGCTGATTCTGACTCTGACTTTGCAGCACTGGTCAAAGCTGAGCATGTCAAGAGGTTACAACTTACAGGGTTGTTTGACGTTGGGAGCCTTGGGCACTGGGGAGCCATTCTTTGTGGGATTCCCGTCACATATCTAGAAGGAATATGCAAAACAAAATATACAAGGCTATACCCCAGTTAATACACCCATGTGGTTACCACATGGACATTACAAGGGCAAGGTGGTCTCACATGGGCAGGGGAAGAGCATGGGTCTGGAAGACATGTATGCATGGGAACCGAACCATATGGGCTAGCCCATATGGTTCCAATGCATAGACGTCTTACAAAACCAGGTGGACACCATGTGGAGAAGGTGGGTTAGCCCACATATGCACCATACGGTTACCATGTGTGTATGTTAACTGGGGCATAGTTATCACCTTCCATATTGCTATGCTCCTAACCATTTTCCTAACAACACTCATCGCTAACAATTCTCATTTTATGGTGTTTTATTAACCAGCTAAAAATGTGAACTTGAAGTATGACATCTATCAGGGGACATTCAATGCAAATTTGTTTCAATTGAAGTTTGAAGACATGATAGATTGGCTCTTGAATGGGTTTGCTCTCACTCCCTCTCTTTCTCTGTGTCTCTGCTTTAGGTCCCTTAATTCTGGAGTCTGGAAAAGTTTCTTAACCAGAAATGATTTTGTGTATTACTCGCAGGTGTAATTGTCTTCATGTTTGGTGACAAGGTCGCAGTCATAATGCCATCATGCTGTGTGTAAACTTATATTTCTGAACGACATTACATACTTTGTTGTGGATTGATTAATGTTTGCTGAACAATAATCAATTTGATTTTACATATTAAATGTATTAGAGGCTGAGAATATAGTCATTTTGCTTTGCACTTGTCACCTGAAAAGGTCTCATAATCATTATATTAACATCACTTTCCTTTTCAGGAAGAACTGAGGAGACTGAAAGGGGATATCATATGTCCCAGACTGGACGTTTTTGACGGAATTCATGAGGTAAGTTTTCAACTAGCCCCCCCCCCCGCTCCCTAGTTTTAACTTAACCCCTCATGGCCGATTGGTCTATGGCCTCATGGCTCATGGCCGAGTGGTCTAAAGCGCCTGATTACGACGCTGAAACAGGTAGCGACAGCGAGAGCCGGATTGAGCCCCCGGGACTCAAATCGGGTCGTGAGTCGTGACCGTCGGCACCGGCCACATTCAGCCCTACGTGTAATGGCATGTGTCTTGGCAAGGACCGCTCGAAGGCTAGAGAGTGTCAGTGTGCGAAGGACACCGTTTTTTTTATTTTATTTAAAAAAGGGTACATCAGCTTTTACATGCTGGCAAACATTGCACTTGTTAGACCCTCTCCGGGGGGGGGGGGGGTCAGTCTTACCAATAGCGTGATTAGGATTAGCCCAACTTTGATCGATAGCAATTGTCAACTGTTTCTGCCTTTGACGCGAATTGACGATCTCAGAACCAGGGTTGTGTGAACAATTTCTTTGTAGTTTCTGCATCAAAAGTTATTGCAGAAAATCAATTTTGGTAGAAATCGGATGTTACGTACGTGATCTCGATGCTAAACCGGTAAAGCGGC